AAGGTTGAAGAGCACACATGGCACAGGAAACCTTAAGTTTCTTATTGACACTTCCCACAAACAGTGTGGGCAATTCATTTCTTCTTTTGATAAGATAAAGTATATCATATCCTATCTTTGCAGATGGTGCTAGTACAGATATTAGCTTTCTCTTGCCTCAGTTATAGCAAGTCCCTTGCAATTTCCTTCATACATGAAAGAAAACAGGTGAGCGTTCACTCGCCTTTTCTATAGCAGAAGGTGATGAAGTCTGTGATATTTTTTCATTCCTGGAGGCATATATTCTATTTCAGATCACTCAAAGAGTAAAGTCTAGCATCCCATGCAAACAAGCTCACCCTTGAAAAATGGCACCTTGAATCTTACCTTTTGTGACCTGGCCTGGGATACTGACAGGGCAGTCTAAGCCTCTGAAAAGCAATGTAGTTATCAGTTCGGGTTTTCTGGCTTAGCAGAACTCACCACCTGTCTTTTCAAAATAAATAGCCACTCGGATATTTTTTTTTTATGTACAGACTTCCAGAGCAACACAGTGCACTGAGGATACATCACTTCTTCCCTCCAACAAAGAGAGGGGGTGAAACTAAATTGTGTGTGACGGGTATTAGCCATAGCACCTAGTGTGCACCAAAATGAACAGCTGTTGTACTGCCAAGCAAGGTACAATACCACGCGGACAGAGTATGAGCATGAAGCAAAGAAAGGGTTAAACAATTTTTTAAAAAATAGACAAAAGACACAAAAAAGAAATTTAAAAGTTTTGTTCTAGAAGATGACGATCAGCTCCTGTTTATCCAAACCAGTTTCCTCACACCTACACCAAGCCCACGTGATTTTCCCATAAAGGGCACATATTTAACTCAACCCACAGTCCTTACAGACCATGTTGTTAGCTCCACGCTACTTGCTCAGATAGCTTTCAAACAAAGTCCACTTCTGTTTTTTTATGGTGCCAGGGCTGCTGCAATATTACAGCCCCTTGAGAAGGGGAACAATAACACACACTATTGTGGTACAAAGCAAGTACACAAATGAATTTCTGCAGCACAGGAGATTACAGGAAATAAACTGCTTACTCCTGCAGAGACAAAGCACGTGGCACCAACAAAGAATTTCGGTTTGCACGTGGAATGGACAACAGTGCCTGACACCAAAGATTAAGGACTTAAAACCTACACTTCCATCAGAAAATGTCATAGTTTGCCATACAGTGACAATTTATACAGATTTAAACCATCTGTTTGTTTGTAGCACGTAGCAGCCCTCTCAGATCTTTATAAAAGTCAAGCTGCTAATAAAAGGTCAGTATAAAAATCTTACTTTATATGCAGAAATAACAGTTTGCTAACTATGTCTCTTTCCTAACATTCAAGCTTTTTCAAATATTTGTGGTAAGGAAAAAGTAATTAACATTCTTTCAAATAGAAATTTTATTTTGAAAGGTAAAATAGGATCTGCACTGGAAAACACTGAAAGAGGCACTTCTTCCTGCATTTGTACTTGACTTAGCTGGTATTTAAGCACATGTTAATATAATGTATATACTTAACTGCGTTACTGGCATGAGGTAACTTTTGTTATGGCAGTCTGAAGGATACAGATGGGAAAATGTATTCTGATAAACAAAGATCCAGCATAGTTTAGGAGATTTAATACTGAATGACCATTATTTATCAGTACTGAATGGGACTGCAAATACTGCATTAACGGAAATCTGATAAGGACAAATCTCAACAAAACTCATACTCCAGACTAACCCAAAGTAGAAACATTTGGTTTTGTTTTAATGGGATCTATTCATTTGGTAAAGGAACAATAGCTTTGTGTTTAATAGCAAAGTATTGTTCTTGATCTACAGATAAAACATCTCCAAACCTCCCAGTGGATCTACACGGACTAGAAAGCATGCTGCATGCATGCATTGGAACACTGCTTTCTCTTTCCTTCCCAGAGAAACAAAATCCCCCACTGTTTTATTCCAGGTTGTTATTCCCTTTACCAGTTTAAAGTAGTGGATGAGATCTCATACAGCTTAAATCAGGTGACTCCCTAGGCCCCAAATACAATGAAGGCACACAGACTTCCCACAACAGAAAGCTTGGAGCCTCTAAGGCAGACACTTAATGGTCGGCAGTGTAAATCCTCCTGCGCTTTCCCCCATGTGACAGCTCAAGGTCTGAAGGTCAGGACCCCCCTTGAGAGCGTTGCCACCAAAGCTGTGTCACAGGATGTCTATGCATTTTTCCTGGCATGCCAGTGCCTAATGTAGAAATTAATATAGTGGCAAAAAAAAGTTTCTTTACTATTATAATTTATTTCCATCAGGATACAAGTATAAAATGCACCAGCAAAAGTATAGAGTCCACAATAAGATGCTTTTTTGTGTAGCTATGACAACAAATCTATTAAGTAAATGTAACAGCCTTCTCAGAAAGCTTCTGTTAATTCTCTTATTGATAAAATATCTGCTATTGCAGGCTAAGGGGTTTCCTAACTTCATTTGCCCCGACAGGCTTTACATATGAACACCTTTCATATGTCTTGGTCTCTTTCTACAGGAAATTAATAATATTTTAGGAAAAATGTCCACTTTCTGTTGCATTGAAAAGCAATGCCACCAGCAGACCATGTACAGATTGCAATAGCAGCCAAGCCTGGGGTAGTGACATCCCAGAGGATTGGGATGGCTCCTGGGGCGGCTAGCCTTGATTTGGGGACAGCAGGTTTGCGGATGGCACAGCCTTCAGAAAGCAGTGAGAAGTCTTGCGCAGCACTGGTGCTATGGGTGGTTATACGTTTTGTGAGATAGAAAAATTTAAGTAGCATTGGACTGCCTCTATAAAGCACACAGCGACCCACCCATGAAGCTGGCTTTTACATGGGTCCTTTACCATCTCAGCCCCTTTCTAGTCTAATTAAACTGGAGACGAAAACACCTCAGCACTGAGACAAATAATGTCAGGACAAATTCTCACAGCTCTCTGACTTTAAATAAAGATGCCACTGCTGAATTTATTCATTGCAGATTTTGGGAATGCTCATATTCAGATGCCTTTTCCAAAGCCTAAGTCAGTGCCAGTATCGTCTTTAATGGTGCATGGTGATTCTGAAAATGACTTGCAACTCTTATGACGCCTCTTCTATTTCTGGAACTGACCTGAAGAGAGAACTCATTCTGGGGGGCAATTTTTTGATACCTCTGATGTCATAATGGGTTGAGACATATAAGTGAAGAGAAAAACATCTGAGCTAAGTTCCTCTGATCCCTCTTCTACAGCTTGTTGCTGTTTCCTTTAGCGCTTCACAGTGGACATACACTGCAGTAAATGCTTAAAAGGGATTTTTCTTCCAGATGGACAAGGTTTTTCACAGAAACTAACAGTGACAGCGGAATATTTCCACATAACTGCTGTTGCTGCTATCACTTGTATGATCTAGGGTTATCTCAACTGCACTGTCCATCATTTTGCAGAAAGACACGTCATCATGTTGAGCCACTTTCTACACTCTCAGGGTTCAGTTCAGTGTCTTCTGAGCAAACTCTGTTGCTTTCAGCCTTAGCAGCCTAGCAGGAGGACTGTTTTAGGGCGAACATTAAGGAAAGACATAGTACTGTTAGGAAGTGATACTGTTAGTATGTCCTGGCATTTGAAGTTCTCTAACCATAGCAGAGGAGCAAAAATCAGAGGTGCAGCTGGTTCATGTAAAAAGGGTTATAAATTATATAGACCTAGAACTGGCTGAACTCAGTTTAGTCTAGCATACTATTTCAGTCATCCTCACCCAAGAAGCATGTGGCTTGCTTGAAAGAGAAGAGCAATTACAGTAAAAAATGTGGAAACATTGTAAATGAAGACAGATTGCAGATTTTTTTGTCTTTCCTGTATCTGCCTTGTCAGTCTAAATTTCTTTCTGAAGCAGCCAACACCCTGGTTCTGAGTACACAAATTGCTATGTGAAATCTGCCACTGCTATTTTTCCAAGAGGCAGGTATCTCGCTTTCCTTGATCACCTACAGCTTTAACATTCCATGTATTTTCTTCCTTGATAGCAAGCTAATTTTTATTTTAGTACAAATATATCCTTTTACATGTAATCAGTTTCTCTGAAGATTAAGCTTATTTTGATCCTTGAGTTTTTCCTGGAAAAAACACAAATATTTTATCCCTCTCAGACTATTTACTCTGGTATTTATCAATTATCTTGTAGCATTTTAATGGCTGAGATTAATTATGAGCATCTATCCTAGGATTCCCTCAACAATGACCAAATAACTGGAAAAGCATTATGGGAGGTGATGCTCAGGAGAAGTTGAGAGGGGTTACTTCTGATAAGTTTGTGTTCTTGTAGCCTGGCCAAGAGCTTCAGGGATAGCAGGGGGCCAGGAACTATATATGAAGTCCCAGAAAAAAATGTTGTCCAGATGTTCTGACAGAGCCCTCTTAATCTCAGGTGCTCATGCATGCGCGCGCGCACACACACACATTCTCAGAAAAGGAAAGAAACCAGTAACTTGGCTCACAAATAATTGCATGATTGCAAGATACTTTACACAATGTCCGTCAGGAGTGAACAGACTTATGTTCCCCATATCTGTATGAGATCACATGGTGCAGTTGATGTGCAGACAGTACAATTCTGTGATTATGTCTTAGAAGAATAGTGAATGAACTTGAATACCTGTCAGAACATGTCTGTACCCATCATGTCCTCTTCTGCCACTATCTTCAGATATAAGTATGTGGAATGAAATCTTGATTTCCTGAGAAAAAAGGCAAATCTTGGATAGAAGTAAAAAAATCAGTCCATAGGAGTGCCACAGCCCAAACACCATCTCCTCTGGGGAAATCAGCTGCTTCTACAAAGCATGAGAAGAGGATGCAGCACGTGAAGACTATGAAAGATTGAAGAAGAATGCACAGTTCCTCTTCCCCCACTGTTCCAGTGTCATCTGTGATACCTCTGAACACAGCCTGATGTACTTTTATTTTCCTTTTCAGTGCTCCTTACTGACGTAAACAGATTTTGCTTTACTCACCATGAAGGCCACAGTCATTGCAACCTTCTTTGGTAAGTACAGTTGGTGTACTGCAATTAGTAGTTTGTGGGTTTGTACTATCCTGTCCTGACTGACCAATGGCTGCTGGCTTTTTTCTCTTCCCTTTGGACTCCATGGCTGATGAAGCTCTCAGTAGCAGGAGAAGTAAGCCTTGGCACAGCTTTTCAGAAACGGGCTACCCAAACTTCTTGACTTTGGCATAGAAACAATATTAATTACTTGCAGAGACCTCTAAGTACATGACTAGCTACATGTAGTCCATATCAGATGACACAGTTGGAACTGAAAAATGTCTGAAATGTAAAGATTCCTTCCAAAGAAAAATTAGCTGTTTCTTAAGTGGGAGCATTCTAATTTTTCTGTGTTCTTGCCCTTTCCATGAACAAGAAGGTGCTAAAGGAAAAGGTTATAAATGTGTCTTACTTTATTTTTTCCTGGCAGTCAGACAGGATCTTGCTTTTTGGGAATATGTAGAGACTCCAGAAATTGCAGTTCATCTTACATGATCTGGTTGATCAAGCATGATTTCTTAGTGTACTTTACTTATATCTCTCCCCTTTGATGGAGATCCAGCCACCACATACCCTAAAGATGCTGTATAACTTTAATTATGATATTCCCAAGCAATATTCCCTCTAGCTATCTAGGATACTCAAGTCTGGCAGGATAGCCACTCTTAGTGCAAATTCATAGCTATCTATGTAGTTGGTCTGTCTTTACTAAGAGAACGAATTACTTTCTCCACATTAAATTAGGCAACATTGCATGTTGTTGGGACTTTGCACTTTATTTTCCACTAGTTGTCTCCTTTTTTGTCTAACTACAGTTTTGCCTTGGTTACACAACTGCGCCAGTGACAGAAGGCTCCAGTACTGCATCTATACACTGTCAGTTCAGACACTGTGAGACTGATTTTTCTTTTGAGCAAATTCTAGGAGTTCTTAAGTCTGCAAACTCTCTGCAACCAGTCTAGGGAGAGAATAGCATAAAAGGAAGAAATAAGACTGCTGTTGCATATTCTAGTAAGATTAACTTAACGAATGATGAGAGGATCAGCCAACACATCATAGAGAGTTTCAATTCCTTCTGAAAGCTCAGAGAAAGGGAAGGTGAATAGGAAAGTCAAGATATTTGTAATGAAGTTATTACCTGTAATAGGTGTACTTATTTTAAAAGCACAGAGAATTAAATGTTTTTGTATGGCATGCACTTAGCAAGAAACCTGACAAGGTATGCTACATGCATATATTGTGATGTATGTTTTAACATAAAAATGTACGTCTGTTTTATTATTACACTTTTCAAATAATAATTCTACTTACTGAAGAAAAACAGTGCCCCTGCTGGGACAGGATAGTAGGACATGCCACACTAGAAGCTCCATAATGCTGCCCAGTATCCCATACCCACTACTACCAGCGAGTGGAATGCTACAACACACAATTACAGGATAACCTCCCCAACAGACTATTAAGAAGGACTTTTCTACCTAAATTCCCAGTTGCTTTATACACAGAGCATGTTGTTTCACAGACATCTCTATCACACCAGTTGCAAAGTTTCCACTGCTTGTGGAAATATTGGGGCCTTTCATGGTTTTCTGGACCACATGGACTCAGTGGCATCTTTTGATAGTGAGTTCCACATATGAATGTGTGAACCGAACTGATCTTTAATCCACTTTAAAAAACACAGTAGCTGCCATCTTGACTATGAAGTTAACCAACAAGTAGAAACCTAGCTGTAGCTGAGATTTCATTTTTTCAAGCTGTTGATTCAAATTTGGGAGATCTCATGCACAGGAGCTTGTGGTGACTGATGTTGACAGTCTCCCTTTTTCTGAAACTATGTTTTCTTTGTTTTAGGTGTGTTTCATATATGTACATATGCAGCTAAGGAAGCCCCAAAGAAGACAAAAAAGGCTAAGCTATGTAAGTGTATTTTTGGCTGCTCTACAGCAGACATGTCTGTTGCATTAAAAAAGTGCAAAGTGAGGTTATAATCTGGTAACTCCACGGTTTTCTGCAGAGTCAGTGGGAGCATATGTTAATTAACATTCTTTTACTGAAATCAAATTGCTAAGTGTGTGCTACTGAATGGGTGTAAAGGCGAAAGTGTGTGCTTCACTACTAAAATGTGTCTTCATAGGTCATTAGGTACCACACAAGGATCTAAGCAAGCACTAAGGTTTTCACAGAGAGAGAGACATAAACATGTGAAATGGACTTGCTGTAACACAAAGCGTATGTAGCTGATTAGCATGAGACAAGTGGTTCATGTCCTATGCACTAGGATGTATAACTTTCAGTTATACCACTACAAAAGCATTTCTGTCCACAGGTTATTTCGCTCGTGTTGACAAACAAGCCTGTTGCAAGGTTGTGAACTTAAACCCCTTGTTCAAAGTAAATTGTACCCAGTAAATAGTTTTAAAAATTAAGGAAAATATAAGGGATGATGGCTGCAGCCTGGAGTAATAGGTGGCACAGAGCTAGCTGTATGAGCACAGCAGGAGGCTTGGGAAGCATCTGCCTCCTGTGTGCACAGTCCTTCCCAGTCCTGACTCATAGCCACCACTTCCCCTATCACTTTCCTCCCACGTTTACTTCAGCAAAGTGTCATAACTGATACTTCCTTCAGAGAAGCAAACATTGAAGGTCAGAAATATCCTCAGGCTTTTTTATTCTATCCTTAGTTACAGCCAAATCCCTCAGTACTGGGGTTATTGTATGTTATATTGTAGATGCAGAATACTTCGACACATCTTGTATCCCAAAACCATTGATACAAAGGTATAAGAGGAGGGCATCCCTGTCAGTTACTCATTGTTTCATGACAAGATGACTGAGCTGTGAAAACATTCAGTGTGACTTTATCAAGATTTTGCACTCACAGATGTACCCCAGATCGACTGCGATGTCAAGGCGGGGAAGATAATCAATCCAGAATTCATTGCAAAATGCCCTCCTGGATGTCAAGATGTAAAATACCGTGTTTATGGCACAGACATTTATGCTTCCTTTTCCAGTGTGTGCAATGCTGCAATTCACAGGTGAGTGAGTTCAAATGAGCAAGGCACTCAAACAAATCTTATTTCAGTGTAGGGAGCTCTCAGCTTTACAAACCCTTTAAAGTTCCCACTGCCTTGTAGGTTTAATTGCAGGCTGCTCTTCTAGTAGAAAACCCGTGAGAAAGACCATGTGTGATGCAATAGATCCAGTCTTATAGAGTGCTATCAATTCTGTATTCCTATTTTCATCAGTTATGTTTGATGTTTCTCAACCTGTGTAGAAGTGTCCTGAGATTTACAGATCTCTCATTCATGTATGGAGAATTACTATTGTACTATTATTATTCAAGTGGAAGATAGGGATGGAGCTGCTGCTGCTGCTAATAAAGCTTCAGAAAAAAAAAAAAATAGACATCTTACCAGTGATGAATATAGATAACTCTCTTTCTGAGATTGTTTTTGGTTCTCCAGATTTGAATTTAATTGTCCTTGACATCAAAGGCTGAATAATGTGCTTTCCTGATACAGAAAAGGACACTAGAAAAGCAAACATATAATACAAATTTTAAGCACAAATTTTGCTGGGTTTAGTAGCCATGAAAAAATGTGCATAAAATTTTAATGGAGAATAACTTCACAACTAAAACACACCATAACTGCAGGCAGGATGCAGAGGCAGGGTGCATTCAGCTGAAAATGTAGTGAGAACTTATAAAGCCTGATTGACAACTTGGCTTAATTCACAGTTATTTGAGGTATTGCAGCGCTTCCAGTTCTGTGAAATAACTGGGATCTTGAGTAAAGTTGAGTAGCTAAGGCTTTGGGACTTTATACTTTACCTCTGCAGTGCACAGCGCGCAGTGCCCTGTGTGCATAGGGCTGCCACCTCCTGGCTGCAGCTCTGTCTGCTCAGCCCCTTGGCTGGGAAGAGGACTGACAGGTGTCTGGCTTTCAGATGACAAATTCTTCCTTCAGATACTAGTCCACAGTGGAAATCGTTTGTCTTTGCACACGGAACATATCTGAAAGGGAAGCTGCAAAACAGTGATAGCGACTGCAATTTCCCCCATAGTTCAGATGCCCGCCGCCTGTATTGTTGCAGCGAGGGTTTCAGTTTCCCTCATTTGCCAGCTGGGTTTGGCTTTGTTAAATTATATGTTGCATTTCCGCAGACAGTGTATTACCTTACAGTTATTTTGTCAGCAGCTTCTTGTAATCATCAGAAAAAGCTACAGCTCTAACATATCCTTCACCACTGTTTGCTGCCCATTACTCATTTTCCTGCACAGTGTCATTACTACCAGTCCTACCACTCCTGTAGAGTCGCAGTCGCTTCCTGGTTTGCCTGCTTTCCTAACGATGCCACGACAGTTGCACACCCTAAAGGTTTTCTGTTTGTCTTGAAATACATGTTATGTCATATGCTGAACACCATCTAATGTGCACTGAACGTGGAGTCTATCAGGTTTTCTACAGCTTCCAGCAATATTGTGTTCCGTTTACTCCAGACTGAGGTCAGCACCAGGCTTAGTTTGTTGCAGATAACACATACTGGAACTCAAAGAAAAAAGTCAAGTGAGGAGGAATTTTGCCTCAAATTTGTATTTCTGTCACATGGTTGGCCCAAAAACTCCTCTGAGTACCTCTCCCTCTATCTTCAGTCGTTCAACCAAGCTTGCAGGAATTTTAACGAAGGCAGTAGCTTGTTCTTGTGTGCAACTAGGTCAACCTTAAACACAAGTAGATCAGTGGGAAGAGCAAGCCGATCCTAACAGCTCTTCTCTATGTGGAAGAAGCACAAATATTTCTTAGCAGCAGACTTAGTAGTAGAGTCACAGCTCTACTACAGCGCCTGGTTTAAAGGTAAAAGTGAATGCTTCATACCTCTTGCATTGTTGAACAGTTTCTAAGTCGGGGGGAGGGGGGAAATTTCCACCTTCAGACGCCATGTTTTCCCCTTGCAGTGGTATAATCGACAATGCAGGTGGGAAGATCCTCGTCCAGAAAGTTGCTGGCCACTCCGGTTACCGTGGGAGCTTCTCCAACGGGGTCCGGTCCCTATCGCTGCCACGCTGGAGGGAGTCCTTCCTCGTGTCAGGTACTGTGGTGGAGCACCGGAGCCACCTGCCCTTCCTGGCTGCTGCCTGACCAGCCGGGCGGCGACGGGTAGAGGGGGAAGCAACCTTCGCACTTTAAAGATCTGTTTAGTCACCACAGGCCCACCCCACCTAGCTTTAGCATGAATAATGCACCTGAGACAGTTTTTATTCCAGGCTTCCTATATAGCCTGCAAAGAGACATACACCCTGTCAGCAGTGTGGTCAGTTCAGCCCCGTGAGGGTCTGAGCCCCCTGCCAGAGGTGACAGGTGGTCTGCATTGATTCTCGAGGGCACCTTAACACCTGCTATCGATGCCTCTGTACTGATGGGGAGGTCATCCTATTGCACTTGCTCTCCACCCTGGTAAGTACTGCTGCTAAGGGAGCTAAAAGGGCCTTTCTGCCATTTGGAGCATCCGCAGCCTGCACCTGAGTTCACATCTTCTGAAACAACTTCTGACTTCTGTCAACCCATCTCAGACCACACTGGATTTTTGCAAACCCTATATCAAGCAATTCTATTGATGCGTCCCAACTATGTTATGAATTCTCCCCACCTCTGTTAGCCAAACAGTTTAGATATCCACTCAGCACAGGGAAATCCATCAATTTAATGCTCATTCCTTTTTTCTCCCAACATTATATACAGTAGCTCACTCGCATTCACTGACAAAATTCACAGATTATTTTTTTTTTTAATTAGATACCCTTTACACCAGCTTCAAGTTACCTTAAACCAACTTGCACTCATTCTATCTGTGTGAAAGGAGGTCTAATTTACATTACTTTACATACAGTTTCTAAATCTAACTTTTGCTGCATCCATACAGAGGGTCAGTTCTTGCTGGTCCACACTTTTGGAGGTTTAGGATAGGTACAACCAAATGATACTAGTCAAGTACATCATTCCTGGAAAAATCAACAGCTCAAGAGACTGAACAGCCACTAAAAATAAAGAAATGTTCTTTTCATGTGAAAATTTGTGGACAGCAAAGGAGGTCTCAGAAACTGACCAAAATGAACTGTCATCTAGAGTTTGCATTAATATATTTGGATGCACTTTTTACAGCATTCTGCCATAGGTACACCACATTATGAGAAGGATTTATTTTGAATGAGTAGAAATTTCCTGGAATAGCTGAATTGCTACTTGTGCTTGTTGTTGTTTTTTCCCCAACAAACAGCACATTGTAATTCTGGTACATAAATGGGAAATAAGATTTTTTTTTTACTTCAGCAGCTGCTCGGTTGTTACCCCATAAAACTGTAGTGACTTTTGATTTATAGTAACAAATATTTATTCTTAGTTAATGAGACACTATAAAGGAAGATACAAGAGAAAGTTACAAGCACATGTAAGAGGAGATGATGAGAAATCTGTGTATGCGTAGGCATGATGAGATTTGTCCCTCGTGCCCTTAATTTTATGCACGCTGAGTGCTCTCACTGATGTCAATGGAACTTAGTTTATAAACTAGCTCATTTGTAAATCTAACATATCATATAACATATATCATATTATATTTCATATATTAATAGGAAGTAAACTCCCACTATGCCTACTGAAAATGTGGGAATTTTAGATTTTAGAGAGAAATTTAGAAGATTAAAACCTCAGGAAGGCTGTGCTAGTCATCTCAGCAGCCAGAGGCTGAATGTAGACAGATCTCACTCTCAAAAAGAGGTGAGTTGAAGGTTTATCATGAGTTATAAAAAGACAAGAGTTGCATAAAGCATTCCCCAATAAATATACAAAGTCACTTAAGGCATTAATTTCGGGACAGCTTTAGAGCTTGAACTGAGACCCCTATTCTCCAGCTGAATTCCCTTTCAGCAGACCAGACCCATATGAGATACTGTACTCTGGAAATGTGCCAACAGTTTATTCCTAGTTAGGATATTGTCACAAGAGTTTGTGATGTTTAAATTGTGAATGAGCATCTGCACAAAAGAGCACAGAAGAGGAATCCTCGGGGGGCCCAGGCGATGAAGTGGCGTCATTTAGGGGAAAAGAGGTCTGTCCTCTGAGATTAAAGCAGCCAACACACCAGGAGGTATGCAAATGTGCTGGTATTCACTTTCAAGCACTGAAATGCCTTGGCACTCAAGTTGAATGACTCCATTCAGTTTAGTGGGAGTTCTGCAGCTAGTGAGTTAAGAAAATAGAGTCCTAAACCTCTGGGTCTGCTAATCACAAATAAGCATGAAAGTGTGAGCAGCCACCACCCCATAGCTTGTACTTCAATGGCCAGAAGTTGAGGTTTTCAGCCTACATGTAAACCCATTTTTAAGTACATTAAACAAACTCCAACTTAGCTGTAACTTTTTCCAGACAGTGAAAAAGAGGTATTACCTTTGCTCCAGAGAGCAGGGACACATTCAGGTCACGCCTCAGACCAACCTTTTGGTCACATAGGGGATGCAAGTTGCTGTTGAACAAAAATCCCAGAGTCCAGGAGCAGCCAGCCTCTCCATGCTAGCTAGTTTATTTGCACAGCAGCAGGCTTCAGGTTTGCAGCTCTGGTCTTTGGCAGATCAGCTCTGGTCTTTGTGTGATCTGTGTTGACTTCAGTAGAGCTGCTCTCAGTTTATACCCCTGCAAATGAGAAATGGCATGGCTCCTTACAACATTGACTCATTAGTAACTCAAACTAACTTCTTCATCTAGGGTTTTTAAATGATGCTGGAAATTTCAGAGAGGAGTAAAACAAAGGAGAGAGAATCATGAAAAGGGACAAAAGACAGTGCCTCTCCATCTGCATGGCTATCCCTACACATAGATGACCAGTTCCTCTGGCATATATTCTTCTTTGTCTGCCATCATGGGGGGAAACAGACCTCAGTTCCCAGGAGTGGCTCAGTCTGTAGCACCTAATTCTGTTCAATGTTGTTGGTCTCTGGATTAATCATCCGGGATGACAACTGACATGCTCACAGTGCCATATGCACCTTCTTAAAGAATCTACTGAGGGAATAAAGGAACGCAAACCTAGCATCACCTGAGGTGGTCCAGCTGCATGACACAGCACAGCATCTTGTAGAGACAGTCACCAGGGTCTGGAAGTCCTACACCCACCAACTCCTGGAGGCCAGAGCAGTCTTCTCTACACTGGGCTTCTCTGCAACACTTTTCAATCAGTAATATATGGGAATATAAAAACTGCCCCAAGAGATGGAATTGCATGGTCACATGTACCAATAGAGACAGCATCTGCTGTGGCACTAAAATGATTTGTGGTTTAAAGCTTAACTGGGAAATGTACCTCATTGTTTAAAGACAGGACCCTCATTTTAGATCTGAATATAGGTACCATATGTTCCCACACACAAGCATAGCCTTCTTTCACTGTTATTACTGCAAAAGACCATTGCCAGAAACGGCATCTTGCAAAAGTGAGGTCAGAGAAGAACATTGTGTGCATGACAAAAGGAATCCCACATCAAACATGCTTTCTAAGGCAACTGCATAGTCGGGCACTGGAAAAGGCTGCCTAGGGAAGCTGTGGGTTTAAGTACAGATCTTACAAATATCTTTCAGGAACAGTGCCCTTATGCTTAATACCATTTGAAAGCAAAGGAATAAACTAACTGACCTCTTCAAATCCTTCCCAGGACTGTGTTTTCATGGCTTTCTAACTTTTTTTTCATGATGCTGGATTTAGGCACTGGCATTTTCAGTGGCATGGTTTTGAGATTCTGCCATCAGATGAAAGAAACCGTCAAGAAAATGAATTGGGCAATAAATAAGCGGGTCTGATTCTGAACACATAGGTTAAATGAGAATTTTATTGCAAGAAAACGTAGAATATTTTGTGATGCTTTCTAATGATTTTTTTTTTTTTTTGCAGAGGGAAAGCCAAGAAAAGGTGTGACATATCCATCAACTCTTGAATATTCTTCTTCAAAAAGCACAACTGTTAAATCAGGCAAGTAATTGTGACTGACTTTCCCTTACATCCATTCACAACTATTTGTTGTATCTTCTCAGTTGTGTAATATGAAGATATAATTATTCAAAGACAGAAGTTCATTCATCCCTTAGTATCTCATCCAAATCCCTCATGGTATTTTTTTATGTTAAGCATAGGGAAGTCAGCATTTTTTTGGTCATACCACATTTCACAGAATTCTGTTACCAAGTAGTTTCCCCCTTGCTTTAAATCTGTTGGTGAGCATAATGTTTTACTGAAGCATGTTGATTTTATCCTAATGTTATTCGTGTTATCTTTTGGGATATTCAGTGTGGATAGTACAATAATGAATGGTAATATACTAATGACACATATGGCAGTGCACAGCAGCTTTAGCTAAGGATGATATGATAAGGAACTACTCTGTATAACCCTTTTAATCAGCACCTTACTCTGTAAAACTCAAGTCAGTTTAAATAATTTAGTTGTTTTCAGAGGTCTTTGATCAAGTCTCACACCAGGTGGCAGATGATGTTCAAATGCACGTGAAGTGCCTCCATCACTGAAATTACACTTGTTTGTGCCCCCTTTAACAACTGTGTTCAGACTCTTCCTTGGGAGCGTGAACGAAAACAAAATGAATGTCTCATACTACTACACATTTTCCAAACATGACTCTTTTGCTTATTGCTGAGCCTGAGCCTTTCTGAGCTTATCCACTATGAGCTGGAGTATAACAAAATGTGCTGTATCTTCTCCATGAACTCCGAGGCCTCTCAGTGGGTTCATTCATCCAAGGCCAAACAGAGGCTACTTAGAGTTCTGCACTTCTCCTGTACATTATTGTTTGGTGCTTGGAAGCAAAGTACAGAGCTCTTTCCTCATCTTTAGGCTTTTACTTGCACAAAGGAAAATTTAAATCTGAAAGTTGTAATTGTTCAGACTGAATATGCATCACTCAAAGCCATGCCTTTAGTTTGCAATATCTTTACATTTACAAGCAAATAGGTACAGATTTGTATATAACTTGACCTGGTATGCAGAAATTACTGACCCAAATATTCTGCACAGATAGAATAAAGGCAATACCTTAGAAAACTTGGCTTTTTCTAAGAAATCTTTACTAAAACCACATCTCATCATTCCCAAATGCACCCACACTTCAGTATCAGCCCAAACGTCTCACACTAGACCAGGGACAATTCCACCCAGAGTAGAGCCTAGCAAGCTGCAATCAAGGATTTTTTCCACCAGTGCTAAAACCGACATTATGTGAGAATCAGTGTAGAAATGGGGCATCAAGTCACGTCTCAGTCACACAAACAAAATACCAGGAGCCTGTTCCTGCAGCAAAACAAAGATGCAATCAGCTTCCTTCACTTTGTTCCTGAATCAAACAGTTTGAATGAAAGTGTTAGGATCCTAGCAACAAAGACGCAGAGAAAATCCAGGATGATCAGAGGAACAAATAATAACTGTTACATCAAACCCAGTGTTTGAGGATGCCATTTCCTTGCTTTGCCCAGCCCTGTCGCACAAGTAGCAAAGAGATCTGATGGTCACAATCCATCTTCCCCAAGGCCTGCTTGGCTCCATCAACCTTCCTTAACCCTGCCACTCAGCCCAGCCATCTCAGCTGTTCTCTGTTAGAAACAGCTTGCTCTTGATAAAAATCTCTGTAATCTGTTGCTGGGGCCATCTTGTGATACAGGATTTCCTACTTCTTTTTTAATTTTAAAAAAGCTACCTTTTTCTTCTGATTTAAATTATAGAGACCACTTTTTTTAAACCTATTATCTGGAGGAGGTAAAGACAGTCCTTTGAGGTTTACACTCACTTGCTGCCAGACTAATGAAAAATCCTGCTTCAGACCTGATCAGCTGTCAGAGATGAAATTTTGGTCCTTATCCCAGGGATACCAGAGATTCATAGTTCTTGACATTTCTTTAAATGTTGCTGGTGGTTACAGTGCTTCCCAAATGCTGGGCACAGCAGGAAAAACCTTCCCAAAATTGTAACTATCTGCATCTGGCAAAAACAATCAAAGTATGTTGTTTTAAAAAATAATACACATTTTAAGCAAACCATTAACCCTGGAATAATTTCTCAAAAAAGGTCAGTGCTACGAAAATAACTAAAGAAGAGAAAAAAGAAAAAAAGGAAGATCAAAATCCTTCAGTACTCAATCAGACATAAAAGCAGAGGCAGATTCTTTTGCAGGGTAGCAGTATATGAACTGTAAAAAATATTCCAAGTACTTTGATGGCTGTAAGTCTTAGAATCAAAAAAGGACCAAAAAAATCTCCCTTCTAAGCCAGTTTGTGGCATTCAGAATTTGGTCCCATGATGATCTGACAATGTCAGGCAAGAAAGAAGTACATGTGAACATGAATTAGTGACTGAAATATTGCATGTTAGCTGGCATTCCCCAGAGACCCTACACACACTGTGACACTGACTCTCAGGAGACTCTGCTATTCAGAGCGAAAATCAACAATATGATGCATTAATCTCAGGAGTATTGGTTTATTAGTGGTAAAAACCCATATTTATTGCTCACTTCAGAAATTCTTTTGACATTGGCAGGAGCTTTTGGGCAGCAAAAATGCCTGAATTTGGCCCCAAAAATATGGGGTGACTACTTTCTAGAGGCACCCAGCCATAACTTTTTCTCTGGTTAAACTGACTGGCCTACCTAATGCCAAGTGATGGGATGCCTTCCTTTAGGGACCGATAGTCTCCTATTTAGAGAAATTATTATTATAATAATTATATAATAAAATAAAATTATTTTCTTTCAAAGCTGCCTTTTCTAATGTGGTTATTTTTGCTTCAGAGCCTAAAAAGCCAGAGCAAGACCTAAAAGATACAAAGAGTGCAGATACCGCTAATGCAGCAGAAAAAGCATCAGAACAAGGTATGGGTTAGGGATCTCAGTGCTCTTTTACGGTATCCATCTCAGTCTAAACTGCCTGCAGATGCTTTTAGGAAGTAGTTTGACACTGGTAACACCCTTTACCACTTTTCTGCCCCCATCCAACCTCCTCCCTACAGCCTCTTTCCCACTAAACCAACCCCATTATTTGAGCACCTGCAACGGTGCTTGGAGAGCATATGCCCATTCAGAGAAGAGAGGGCATTCTCTCAATTTTATTTCTGCCTGTGCTTTGGGTGAGTTCGGGTGTTGTGAACTTCAAAATCCTCCATTACAGCTCTCAGCAATTTTCTATGCAGGGCATGTGCACTGCAAACCCTTTGAAGATGCTGTGAGAGAGACGGGCACCCTGCCTGCAGGAGCGCTGGGAACAGCTAACCCTCGAGAGCCCTCCTCTTGTGTTAAAGATTCTATCAGAAACCCAGCCAACATGTACCAAGGCAACATCTTTTCTCTCCTCTTACTATGCTGCTTCCTTGGGATTTCTGCTAATACTGTCAGCTCCCAGCTTCCTTGCTCCTTGCAGCTGAGGTATAAAGCCAGCTGATGTGCCTGTTCCCCTCCCCAGCAGCACCAGATTGTAGAAGACTCACTGTGGCCTCTGTCTTCTTTCAGCACAGCAGCGTGGAGCAGGGCACCGTTCAGCCCAAAGAGAGCCATTCATACTGATGTTTTCAGCTGAGTTGTTTTGCTTCTGAGCTCTCTTTCAGCATTATCCTATTAAAACTGTCTGAGATCTGAGTTTTTCACTGGCTAGCATTAGATGGTAATTAATCCACCAGACAGTTTCATGATGGTGTTTTCAAAAAGGAGAACATCCAGCAATAAAATACAAGCTTGTGGTGTGCAGTAATGAATAGACTGCACATCATCACCTTTCAGTGTACACAGTGTTGGACCATCCCCAGGGCTATGGGCAGGGAGGGGAGGAACAAGACTGAGATGAACATGGAATATATTTTAGGGCAGTTTTTTGCAGATAGATGAATAAGATAATGGTGAAGGATCTTTTTTTGAGATGGTGACTTGAAATAACTGTAAGCATGTTAGCAATTTTGTATAAGGATATTTAGGATGCAAATTTTGCATCTAGAATTGTCTCTGTTCTCACAACAGATGATACATTTTAAAAGTCGTAGCAACTGTGAGATGAGTCAAAGTTAGATGAAATCAGCACTGCCCAGGTGGTGCTCTTCCCCACTCCCCTCAGCTGAAGCCCTAACACTCCCTACTCTGACTCTGACCCACTCCCTGAATCACCATTACCTAAAAGTGGTCTTTCTGCCAAAAGCATTTTAAAAATGCTTCACTGCTGTGGTGGGCAACACATATTTTATTCTGGTCTAAGATTCAGAATGGCCATCTTTTATTACCAGATGTCAGTTGATTTTCATTTATACGGACTAACGGTTTAATTACATTAAAAAAAAGGTGATGGCAAAACAAAAACTCCAACTGACCGGTTGAACCAGTTCGTAGGTATGAGACATCTGTCAGGTTGATAGGTGTTCCTAGCCAAAGCACAAAAGTATAGGGGAAACGCTAAGGCTGCAACAGGCTGTTGTCAGCACCCTCCAGAGAGCAGCGTAACACCGTCACCCAGGCACCTGTGCTACACATCCACACAGCAACGAAGGTACTAATGGTTCCATGGATGAGGGTGCTTGTAGACATCCTGAGGAGAACATGAGTCTGGGCTGCCTTCAACAGTGAGCTCTAGTAATGATGCTTCCATATGTGTCACCCATCCAGCTGCAGTGATTGTGTCAATGTTCCTACAGGGAACGCAGTCCGCAAAGAGCATCAGACACCTCCGGTGCCGACACCAGCCACACAAATGGCCACCACAACCCCAACACCAACGACCACAACGACGGATCCTTCCACCACACCAAAGCCAACCACAACACCTGCAACAACCAGAACCACAACAGTTGCCGCTGCAGCCAAGACTAGACCTGGAATGCATAGGGTCAGAGATATAGGTCAGTAGCATGGATGTTTGCATTGCTTTTGTCTTGGCCTACAGCTTTCCTAAAATTTAAGGAACAAGGCATGCAGCTGAATATACCATGATTTAGTGGATCATGAATTCAGTAATTCAGTGTCGAAGTACTACGAGTGGATAAAAAAGTTAATTCCAACAGATTGGCTGGAGTTAGAGCTGTGCTTTTGAGATACATACAAAATTAGTCTGTCTCACATAAACACAAGTGAGTGGATTCACTGAGTTGAGAGTTCAACTGCAGTAAAATTATGGCTAGTCTTTATCTTTACAAATAACATACTGCCATATAAACCGATTCATGTGGGAGTAAGCATTCCCAAATACTGTCATGATTTTCAAGTATAGGAATCAACAAATAGTTATTTGATTCACTTGTCTGAACTGAGAGTTCAACAGATAGGCCAAGACTCATTTTAGAATTAATTTTGTGATACCTTTCAGTAAATGAAGGTTGTAATTTTTTTGTCACAACTTTTGGATTTTAAAGATTAAAACACTGTGAAGCAATTTTCATATGATTTTTGCACACCTTGTTTTCCTTAATCTTTCCTTCTCCATTTATTCTTATTCATTAACATTGGGTTTTTTGGTTCAAATACCTGAAAATTAAAATCTCTTCTTTTTAGGTTCTAGCAGTGTCCACCCAGCATACGCATCTGTGATAGCTGCAGCATCAAGTAAGTATGGTGAAGTAAGTATGCCACAAGGCATGCAGAACAGTGTATTTTAAGGCAGCAATGATTCAATAACCTTTGAAGCCTCAGCAAACTCAATGACTGAATCCACGTCTGGATTTAAACTGAAAAACAGACGTTTGGCCTGCATGTCAGAGATGCTGATCACCCACAGCTCCGGAGAAGCCTTTCTAGTGAATATCTGCACATTTCAGCCTTGACAAACGCTGGGTTTCACAACCTTTGAGACAAAGCTTGTGCTGTCTGAATTGTGTTTTCCTATTGCTTCCTTCTATTTTACTCTTTCAAAGGGAGACTTGATTTAGTTGCAAGATATATGATGCAGAGGGCTGTGAGCTCCGTAATGCCTACTTATGTTGAACCAATGCTCTTTCAAAAACCTCAGGCTGCGGTTCTGAGCCTGGCATAAATGTGATGTTATTCCTGGCATGCCACTCATGTTACTGACAGCAGAGCTGCGGCTGCTCAGAGTTCTGTGTCTCCATCCAGAAGCCTGCTCCCATTCCAGCCCACAGCCTGTATGCAAGTATGTAGAGGTGTGTTCCCATGCAATGTGTAATTGCTCAGCTGTGCAGTCAAGTAAAGGAGAATATTTTCAACTGTTTGCAAGTTTCTGAGTGTGGGATATTATTGCTTTTGAGTCAAAAGGGAGCTGGGCCGTCATTAGGTTTTATGCTCTGTTGTTATTTCTGAGTGCCTTGAGCTCAGCTTTGCTCTCACATACATAAATAACTGTGGCCATCCCTGCTGCCAAGTAATTCAGAGCCAAGCACATGGCAGGGCAAGTATCTTTTGGGCAATTCAGGTCTTGAGGGATTAATTTTACCAAGTCAAATGTGCAGGTATGTGTATGGCAGGGTTTGCAGAAGTGCCAACACAATCCAAAGAGTTTTAAGTTCAGTAGGAATATGCATCATTCGATACATAATGTGCCTGTAAACCTGGTCGTGCTTGTTGTTTTATTTTTTATTTCCTATTCCCACAGGCTAAGCACAGAAGAGGCCATTAGTCTCTTTACTAGCAATTAGGAAACCCTGTTTGAGGTTCCCCAGTCAGTGAGAGATGCATGTGGAGGACAAAGTCCTGGCCACTTAAATCAGTGGGAAGGTTGTATTTGTCTTTAATAAGAACAAATCTTTAGTCAACAAATGAAAAAACAAAAATAAAGAAGCACCCACTTTTTCAAATTTTTCTATGGTCACTTCATTGCAATTTGGACTCATCTCTCTTCACAATTTTCTTTACTGAAGTTCTAAACATAAATTAACTCCCAAAAGATTAAAGTGATCAGACTTAGGCACAGGTTATTGTGAGCTGCAGGAGCAGTGGAGACCTGATTTCACAGACTTCATTTCTAGGACCATGTCCCGCATGTTTGTACTCTATATCTGACTTCCTGAATTCTCCTGATCTCCTTGATTCTAAAAGAGAAGAACAGGCTAAAAAAATACAGGAACAACAAATACAATTTTGAACCAATGACCACACCCAAAGCAATTTATCAGTTTTCTCTGTCTGAGGAGCCCTTAGGACTCACTCCTACTATTCAGGCCAGAGTTTCTGATGATGCTGTTGGCCTTAACCAGAGTTTGCCTTGACTGGACAGAATCAGATGTTCTCTTGTCCATCTTGGCTCATACGGACTCACAGATCTATCTCTTCTGAGCATTGGTAGTTTTCCTGCAAAAGACACCTCAAAAATAAATAGCCTTGAAATAGAGCACAGTCAGAATGAGCGCAGCTGTGGCTGTTGTTATCTCCGGCGTACCAGCTACTGGTATTGGCAAAAGTTCACAGAGGCAAAAGAAAAGCAGAACTTGCAGATTAGAGCATTAGAACAGGGGCAAAACTCCTCCATCCTAGCTCTTGCTGTTCTTTCCCCTTTATCTTCTATTTATCAAAGATACAGAAACAGGAAAAATATCTGAGACTGCTCCATCGCAGGACCCCTGCTTTAAAGACTTGATCTGGCAACTGCTAAATGAAAAGCTGCTGATGTGACTAGTGATTTGAGAGCATATTCCCATCTGCCCTATTAGCAAGTGCGCCCCTTCGCCAGTGCAGTATGTGGTAAAGGATGACCCTGAGGGGGAAGCAGCAGTGGCAGCGGGCATTAAAAGTGAATGCAAACTCTCTCCTGCTCTGGGCACAACTTAAGTTCAGCCACACATTGCTACAATGACGGCTTCTGACTGTTTCCAACAGCAGTTAACCAAGCACACTTCCAAGGGGCATGAACTCACTTGTCCTCTCTCATCCCAGCTCTTCAAGCAACCTTTTCTTGCACAGCTGCTTGGACCCTAGATGCGGACTGGGAATAAATCCAGCTTCTGTGAACACTGCAATCGTAAGCATGTCACCACCCTCAGTGCCACCCAGAGGCACTGAGCTGGCAACCAAGCATCAGGCAGCAAGTGCCTGGGCATCCTTAGGCAAGGTGCTGCCCTGCACTCTGTGCCCAGCTTTGTTCAGTGGTTGCATCTTTTTTCAGACAGGGACTTCTAAGCTGGGCGCTGCCTGCCACTGTACATTACACTACTTTCATTCCCAGCTGTGCGTTACTATAGTAGTAAAAAGAAAAAAGGTAAACAAAACCAACCAACCAAACAAACAAAAAGACTGGGGAGACAACAATAGTGTAAGTGCTAGAGAAGGCATTTAAAGCTCTTCTTCAGCAGCACCAGACCAGCAGGGCTCATACCTTCAGGAAGCACTGGGTGAGTGCTCCATCCCAGCACTAAGGAGAACAGCGGGCATTTATTTTTGGATGCTGCCTTCCCCCCAAAGTTCACTCTGACTACTTAGCCCATCAAAGGTGCTGACCAGGTTGCAGGAGCACAGGCATGTTTTGTGCACAGAGTAGTTGCTTGCCTTTTCAAATCAGTCCCCATCATTTGCAATGTCCACTTCAAATAGCATTTCTTTCTGCTGTCCCCATCCTTTACTGCCTCCACACCTCTTTGTTCATTACAGGACTTGCTCCCAACCAAGGTTTCTCTACTCCACTGCTTTCATTTCTGACCCATTTCTTGGGATTCACCTGGTGACTGTCCATCCCCAGTTTGCTACACACTTCTCTTAGTTATGCCTCAGCCTTCAGCCTGCACAGAGTTCTGATTTAATAAACACACATTCATGTGCTGCAGGCTCACTGACATCTCAGATTTGGGGAAAGAACAAAGCTTTCAGACCATGGAAGTGCAATTCCAACCTTTCCCCCTCTACCACCACTATATTTGCCCCAGTCAGCAAAAGCATGGCAGAAACAACCCTACTGCAGGCATGGTGGTAACATGCCTGTGGGAGTTGCAGCAAGAGGGAACAGCCCCAAGACCCAGCACAGTCAAAAGGAGCATAGAGAGAAATCCACATTGCTAACACAGGTGTGGAGGGTAGGGGTAATTCATTTAAAAAGTAGCATAAAATATTTCTGATACTGAGCTAATCTTACCCTCTTGTATTCTGTTTCTACTGACCTTGTAGAGTGTTATATACACATTCAGGCTCAGTTGTGGCAAACACGAAACAAGGTGAGCCCTCAGGCTCGGAGTTAATTTTCTTCCACCTCTCTGGCACGTACTGCTCTCCTGCATGGAAAGCATGCCCTGCACAACCTCATACAACACTGCTGCACTGACAGGCTTTTCCCTCCACAGCCTGAAAACTCAACTTGAGCTAGCTGTGGTCCATCTGGAGCCAGAGCTGCATAAAAGCCTTGCCAGTTTTGTCAGATGAGCCTGTTATTTCCTTAAACAGGATCTCTTTGGCATCTGGAGTTTACAGGGTCTCTCAGGACAGCTCCTAGAAATCCCATCAAAGGGTTTCTAGTGGCCTGTAAAAGTTCAAGTTTGGGTCAAACACAAACTATCTGCTGTCACCTCATTTTGCAACACCAAGTTCCCAAGGAGCAGCAATTCCTGTTTTCTGAGACAGCCATTCAAAATGGTCTCATTTATGATGTCTTAATCTCACAGGCCCCTGTCCAGTGTTCACAGGAGTCAGCTAGAACATTCCCACTGATTTCACCAGGCTTTGGAATTAGTCTTTCTGGGAAAACTGATGAATAAAGGCTTGTTAAAGGATAAGTTTGTTTACAAGCTTCTTAAGTATAACTAATAAAGTGAAAGGCATGATTAAAGACATGTTTTCATCTGCACATACTTTGAGCCTTTAGTATTTTTGAACAATGGAAATTTAATAACCCAACCACCTTTAAAAAAGCCTTTTGTGTAGACAGTGGTGAAGACATTTCAGACACATGAATTCTCCCACATTATTTTTGTCACTGTCTCATTATTTACAGTCTGCCTGCTTGCTTGTATCTACTCACTCTCTTCAGAAAGCGTAGTGTGGTCTGGGAGGGTTGCTTTGTGTTTGGAGGGGTTTTTAACCTTCCTCACACAACCAGCACAATTGGATGGTACTGGAATAGAAATAAACATACATAACCAATGTGAGTGAGAGAAGGAAAGTTATAAGGGAAAGCAAATCACAACAGTATCTACAAACCTTTTAAATGAAGACCAGAGACCTGCACAAGTAATATTCATAACTAAAGGGAATGTTAACTAGGTTAATCTATATGATAGACATAGCAAGGCAATCTTTTTTTAAGTGGGCCCAAAATATATAGATAAGATCTGAGAAAGTATGTTAATGAAAACTCTCTATAGATGAACCATTAACTCTGACAGCTATAAACTGAGACGCAGTGAAAAAGCCAGGTATCAGTGGTCCTGAACTAAACATGGTATAAATCACACTTTTGCATTTTGCTGTCTCCTTAGGACAGATTCAGGCTGCACAAGGAAGAGGACAGAATACAGGTATGTCTTAAATTAATAATGCCTAATAGATTTGTATTGCTAGAATACTAGAAAACCTTGTGTTTAAGTTCCATGTATTAACCAATATAATATTTTCAAAGCATTTAGGGGCACTTCCACCTCTGCAAGTAACAGGAATATTTTACGACCTCATACAGGTAAATTGTTATCCTCTAATTCCTCCCCATAGCTAGCTCCACCACTCACATCTACCGAGTCATGCAATAATGCATTCTTTTTCACTCCTAACCATGTTTTTAGCAGGATGCAGTAAGAGCAGATATCACACTGGTTATTGCATGACAGTAGTTTAACTTTTAGGAAAACAATGAAACAGGAATAAACTTAGAACTGTTCTCAAAATAGTATTCTAAAACCATCTATAATGGTCATTTATAACATTTGCTGTTGCAAAATGAGAAAAGAACTTTGTGTTTATGTAAGTTTGAGGGATGAAGGCCTGATCCCAAGAGGAGACACTTGTTTTCAGTTTCCAAGCCCTGAGCCTGATCAGCATCCCAGGACCCCATTACCAGTTGTTCCAGTGCACCAGCGAATAGCTGCACTGTGCAAGCACCTAATAACATTTAAACTCTTCTGCTTTTGCCAAACTCTTTCAGCTTTAAAATTCTTTTTTTTTTTTTTTTTTTTTTTTTTTTTTTTTTTTTTTTTAAAGTCATAGTTTCCATCTTCCATTTCTATTTGGTTTTAAAACATGTGCAGAAAGACAGTTTGGGGCCACTGCATCCCTTGCAATCATTCTTCTTCCTCCTTACCCACTGGTGTCTAACCTCTCGCCTCTTTGTCGGATCATGCAGGTATTCAGCGCCAAGAGCCTGTTGCTGCCGGTTCTCCAGCCCACTTGGGTGAGCAAGATTGTTAGCAACAGATTTTCTCTCTCTCTCATAGTTTTAGCAACCCCAAATTAGCCTTCAAACAGTACTGCAGATCAGTTTTTGCGTGTCCTGGAGGAGGACCAGGGCAAGCCTCATGCACTGAAAGCCAACTAGCAGCTTCCTGAATGGGAAAGGCAAAAGACAGCTCGCTCACTGGTGAGCTGTTGTTTTAGCCCGTGGGAATCAACATCTACCACAGTGTTTGCAGTTTTCATTACTTGTTAGTCAGAATGAGGGGAAAAAAACCAACAACCACTAGCTCTGTGCAGTCTACTATGTCTGCGATAGAGCTAAATCTTATGTCGCTGTTGACCTGGGAGCCTCCAGGCTGATTGCAACCATAGAGGTTGCCTTTAATACTGAGGGTGAAGTCATCACCTGTACTTTCCTTCCTGGCTGTGAATTCACCATCCTTCACCAGCAAGCAGCCCCCTTCAGCAGGCACTCTGCAAGGCCACTGACAACTTCCCGGAGCTCCAAACCGCTTGGTGCACATACAAACACCAACTCTCCTTAATGGAACATCAAAGTTTCTCAGAGACGGATTTTGTCCGGGAGCAGCCAGAGTGCGGTGAGGGATGGGAGCCAGGCTGGCAGCAAGGCAGGCAGGGCTGTCCCTCACCAACAAGGGCCACAGACCCACACAGCCTTAACAAGAAGAGTAGAGTGGGCCCAGCGGTGGTACCCAGGGCCAGCCGACAGCCCAGGCTGCCAGGCAAGTCCCCAGTGATGAGGCAGGGCTGACCGACTGAGGCAGGACAACAGACCAGCCAGGCAAGCTCATGATCAGGATAGCAAGGTACCAGACTAGGCACAGGTACAAGGAGCAATGTCGAGGGTGTGTGCTTACGTGCTGTCCCCCAAGCAGTGCAGGTGGAGGCCCATATGGACACTTCCCACAGCCCTTTCTCACAGCTCCACCATTGCTCCCAAGCCTGGGCCGAGGCCACAGAGCTGTGCTGTGGCAGAGCTGAGCTCTAGCATGGGCAAACCCCCTGGGGAGGGAGAGGCTGCAGCACATAGGGGTGCCCCTGAGGGCTTTGGTGAGAGCTGGGAAGCACAGCAGGAGTACTGCAACAGGGACAGCACAAAGTGGTCATTGCCATTGAGGTTAGAGGACTTTATTATGCAGTAGGACTTTCTGGATAATACTGGCCAAGTAAGTTTACCCAGCAATCTCCCCATCAAAATGACAATTTGTAGTTGACCTAGTTGCAGTATATTTAAAATGGATACACTTTTCCTCCTAAGATTTACTCTGCTCCACTTTTCTACCTCTCCTCCTTGTTTCAGTCTCCTGGTTCCTTCTGGTTTCCATCCACATTTGTCTTTCTCATAGTTTTTGGCCATACCTATTTCTTTTTTTTCTAATCTCACTTTTTTTTGTACTCCCCTCATTCTCTTTGCCTTTGTCAAAATTCAGTGCTCACATTTAAAGTAGAGACAGGGAGGCAATATTTCCCTGGACTGAACAGCAGAGCAAATATGTTGCCTGTAAACATGCTGGTTATAGTAATGCACTAGTTATGTGACACCCCATACAGGGTGGGGATTGCCTGCAGTGGCAGACCTGCCTTCGTGGCAGGGCTGAAATGGGAAGAGCCTTAACATCTGGACCAAAGAATGTGCTAGCCAATTCTCAAGCTAGCCCAGTCTTTGCCAGAGAAGCAGGGCAGCATAATGCTGAATCTAGTTTAAATCAAAGTCAGAGTTTGACCACACCTAATTGCTTAAGGCACCTTAAGGGCCCTCCCAAGGTGATTACAAAGCACAAATCTTCCATCATGAATGATTCTGTTTTCTTCATCACAGAACAAGAAAGAAAAAAACCCACAAACACGTACTTGCCCTATTCCCAATGAGTCCTGATTTATTTTTTTTTCAGCTCATGTTTTGGCAGCTGGGATGCGTTATTTCCAAGCAGCCAATTTTTCTAACGATTAAGGTGAAAATTCTGAACAAGTTCTTGCTTTCTTGGAAAGGAGGATTGTTTTTCTTGATCCCACCAAGGGCACACATGCTGATCTGAAAACAACAGCAATCAGTTCTGGGAATCTGGCTGAGCTGTCAAGGAACTTCCTCTCATCAGCTCAGGTTAGCGAAAGGGTGTGCTGGGAAAACACCCTTCCCTACACAACGGTTGCCTGAGCAGCTTCTCGTTGCACATTCTTCAGGAGTCCCCAACTCTTCCAAGCTCTTGACAATGCACATTAACTCTCTTGAAATTCCATACTCAGTGCAGAATTTTTCTCAAGACAATTACACTGAAGAGTTGTGGTGGTGGTGCCTTTTTCAGTTTTTTTAAACACCAGTCTTTTAAAATCAACCCTTGGTTTTATGGGCATCATCAATTGGGGAAAAAAAAAAAACCAAAACAACAACAAAAAAAAACCACCCAAACCAAACCCCTAGCTACTTATAAGAATAATAATTTCCCTTTCAGATATGCATTTCATTGAGACCTTTCTTCATTATGTGTCTAGGACTACATGCAAGAAATAGAACTTTTGCCTGGATTTACAGGTCGCTGAGAAAGCTGTATATTCTGCATATTTACAGCCAGTTATCCAAAATACATTTATCTAGTGCTTTTCTTCACTAAGAAGGAAAACACAGGGGCTTTCTCAACACATAAAGTTTTAAAAGGGTGTGAGCCGTGGGAAAACTGCTCAAAGCAGCAATAGACAGCTGTCACCCATAGGGATTTGGACAGACTAGAGCACCTGCAGCCATCATGAAGTAGTTCTTGAGAAGAGTGAATCTAGAAAAACTTCAGCATTGCTCCTACTGATAAAAAGCAGTCTTTTCCTTTTTCAGCATCTGTCTTTTCTGATCTTAAACAATCAGAGAAGTTAGAGGAGCCTGTGCTCTGAGGATAGTCCCTTGGCAATGAGCTGGCAGCAGAAGCAAACCTGTGATACATGGGACAGGGCACATTCCATTGCTCTGCATCCTTCGGTTCACATCCCTGCTTAGGAAGGAGAGAAAGATGGGCAGATCAGCTGGTTACAGGTGCCATGCAGTTCCTACAGCTTTAAGCATGTTTTTCACTGCAACTCATGCAGCAGCGTATCTGTACAGAAGATTCAAGAAGTGTGGAATCTTCATCACGATTTTCTCTTTGGCTGGTTTTTTTTAGCTGGTCAGGCTGAAAAGTAGCTTAATAAGAATCTTTTCTGTTTGTAGTCACTGGACGCTTCTTCACACTGGGAGGGTGAAGCATACCTGATTATCTACTCACAAGCTGGTTTCACTGAAATCTGTTGTTGATCTATCTCAGTGACAGCATTCAGGAGACACATTGGCCACTCTGATAACAAATGATCACCAGCTCTTCTCTATGGATAGGGTTCTCCTGCTCTGCAACCTGCATACCTAGGTTCCAGTCACTGCTGTTTTCTCATGACTCTGCTGAGGGAGGTACAAAATTCAGGCAAACAACCCTACCCGGGTGAATGATAAACTAAGAATATTCCTCCTGTCTTTCCTCCTGTTTCCTTCCCTATTACCTTAGCCTGCCCTTCCTTCATCCTAATTTTTCTCCTAAACAAAATCACAGCAAAACATCTGTGTGCATCATGATGGACTTCTCAGTCCTTTGCTTTCCTCGGTTTTTATATTCTTCATAGGGTGTCTAAGCAGTGCTCAACATAAGGAGGGGAAGGGGTCTGGAAAAATCACCTTAGCAATGAAATGTGTTGGGATTCCTCCTACCCTAAGGGAGACCACACATATTAAGCCATCTGTCTTGTGCAACAAGTCTCCCCCTCCCAAAAAGAAGCTGATAGCTCCTTGTTGGGATGGCAACCTAAGGACAAGGTCAGTGCTCTCACTAGGCTGGTGGACACTGGGAAAGCCCATGTCTTTTACGCTGTGGTTCACCCACTGGCTCTAGTCAAGAGCACAGCAGCTGCCAGTCTGAGTTGGGAAACTCAGGCACAGGAGGCAGTATGGATTAAATGGACCTGAGACATATGTTTTTGTAAACGACTCTGAACAAGCATGGAGATGAACTATGAGGGGTCAAGGATCTCACCAGTGCTCCATGGTACTGTTCTTGTCCTAGTCAGCTGCAAGGGCTTTCATCTGGCTGTAACCCAGAGCAAAACTTTGAGAAAGCTCTTCAGCAGGCTCCAAAAACAAAGCTACTTTGGAGTTTATTTATGAAATCAGCAATTTTGATGACATTTTCCATGCCTGATAGACTGCAAACAAAGTTTAAACAGCTTTGTCTTTGGATGGGCTGAGGGGATAGAAAAATCTGTAGATGAGAGGTACTTGCAGATTTTCAGTGGAAAATCTGAACCAAGCAAAAGTATACTGAAGTTAGTACGCTTGCCTCAGTATCAGTGCAATTTAGAGGAATAATACCAAAACAGATCTAAAAAGGTGTATTTAAAATAATAAAAATTATTAGTGCTCTGGAGGCAGTGATACAAAGCTTGAAAATATGGCTTGAAATGCATGCATAAAGGTTTCCAAGTTTACTGATTTCCTCAGCTCCTAGCTGTTAATGATAATTCACTCTATGAACTGACCTTTCTAAATAGAGTCAGAACTTTGTAATCTCTAACAATTCCATTATTTTCAGTAATAATTTTTCTTCTCTTTCATGTGTGAAAGCAATGGAAACAGACTTGTGGAAACCTGGACTGAGCCTTTTTGACACAGGTAAATATTTAAAAAGCATCCAGTAACTAGCCAGGGAATAACTGGTTTCCATCACACATGGCAAAAGTCAAATCTATTCATCAGGCCCATGACACTGCTGATAACAAACTCATTTTGAGGAGTGATTGCAGTATTTAAAATGATAAATGAGGTATGTCATTTACATCTATGTAGTTAAAATTATTCTATGCTTGCATCAGTCTCAAGTTCCCGTCTAAAGCAGGAGCAGAACAGATGAGCTCTGGAAAGATTTGGCAGCTACACTGCAGGAAGGGGGTTCTAGCTACTGAAAGCCATTTGTAAATAAGAAGGTATTTTCAGAATGCCACAGTTGGGATCACAGTCTAGAGCTGCAATCAGTGAAGATTACAGATTATTCTTTCAGTGAACTTCAGAAAGACATTCAGATAAGAAAAGGAGAGTTTAACCTGAATGTAAAGAATAAGGAGTATCATGGAAATTTTATGTCATTTTAGCCTTAAAAACTAACAGTATGGAGATGACAACTTTTTTATAATTACTGGTGAGAGAGGGGAAGAAAACCCTTACATTTGTAGCAGACTCAAGTAGCAACAAGACTTGCACAAGCCGCAATCAGGAGCAACTACCAACTACAGCTTCTATGTGTTCAATATTTAAGAGATCCCTTTCCTCAGAAACATTTAAAGCAGACTACACAAACTATAGGGCAATTCATGACAGGGTGCTCTCTCTCCTATGAGGGGCTGGACCATCCAATACAAGATGTCTTTCCCATCACCAGCTTTGTTGCTGGAGGGGGCTGTGCTGGTGGCCCTTGTAAAGACCCTTCCCTTGAACACTCTGCTTTCTTCAAAGCTGAGGCATGACTAATCCTTGCACTGGCTGTGAGGAGCAGCATAGACCGTATGTATTAGCTTGCAAATCCAGTGTTAGCAGCAGTGGTGGTTGAGTCAAAATTTGCATCGTCCCAGACATGAACAGATCTCCCTTCTCCAGCAGCAGCAGCAGTCTGAGCCAGAGAGAGGAAGCATTTCTATCCTCTGTAGCTTAAGCCATCAGTTAGTTAATTTAGAAAAAGCTACAGCACTAGGGCCAGGGGTGCAGAGGAGTACTTTGAGGCAGAAAATGACAGCTTGCATTAAATGCAGTGAGAGGTTGGGCATGATGAAGGGATGTTGTATTAATAGTTTCTCAGGAACTGAAGTGCCTGTGTAGACTGGTGTGATGAATTCAGTGTGATGAAGTCTGATGAATTCAGATTGTCACTTCAAAGGAACAGTTTCTGGCATGGATGTAGTTACTGCTCGTTTACTTAAATGAATGGGAAGTGTAATCAGCATGGACAGCTGTGACAATCAGTGAAGGGAACTTTAATTAGCATGGAGTAGACTGCCCATGCAGTGAGTTGAAATTCCCATGGCAATAGCAGCATTAAATTGGACTGGCAGGACAGGGAGGCCCATAGAGACTGACCACCTCCCCAATTAGTTGGGGAAGATTATTTGGTGGGTGACCTTATTGTTACACTAAGCACAAATCAGCCAGCTGACCCACAACTTTCAAGAACCAGTAACTGAACTGGCACTAGAGATTTAACACACTACAGTGTTAAATACACCTACTTTCTGTTCTGCAAATAAGGCAAGCGGGAAGAACTGCCCATATGGGATCCCAAGCTTGCACATGAGGTATGTGGTGCGCAGGCTGCAGGATGAAGCGTCTCTTTCATCTACTACTGAGGAAATGTTACGTGCCCATGTAATTAAAGCCTACACTGGAACATACACAGGAGGGCATGCTGCCAACTGTTTCAGGTTTTAAAGAAAAAACCCACAATCATTCTCATCCATGTGGTTGACAAAGAGAGGCAACGTACTGGTCCAAGTCATTGCTTCCTTTGTCTCTCTCCCCCATGTCACCCATAACTTCTGCATCAGCCAAACCCACCTTAAGCCAGCACTGCCAGCAAAAAGAGCCTCCTTGCCTCCCAGGCACCTGCATGGCCGGAGGGTCACCTGCTTCTGGGAGCTGGTCCAGCCCATCATTAACCTTTTTCTTTCTTCCCAGTTTAACTCTGCTCTTTCCCCCTTCTCCTTGAGTCCCACAGACACCAGGCAGGCACAGGGGCCAGTGGCAGGGCAGGAGCAGGAGGGAGGGTGCCTGGTGAGAGGAGGGCACTCTGCCTTTGGGCAGTGAGGCTGGTTTGCACCACCTGAAAATGTCCCTGGGACTGTGCCTGCAGGCATTTACACACAGGCAAAGCAAGGGCAAAGAGGGGGCATTGTCAAATCATATTGATGAGCTTCTACTCTCACGAATTTGGGAGGCCATGGCTGCTGGTGAAGTGGCAGGGTTGCCAGATGCGAGTGCACAACCCAGCATCATCCTGCAAGAAACACTTGGCCACTTCCTTCAAAGCACTCTCCTGCAGATCCTGCACCTTTGCTTTACTTTCCCTGGTTGCTGAACTGCCCTCCTTTGCATTTAGCCAAGCAGGAGCCACAGACACACACCAGCTCAAGACCAAACTTCATTCCTCCTCTAACCCTGCCCTGCGTCCCCTCCCTGCGCCACTGCTGCTTGCACCTTGTGTCACTGCTCCCTCACACTCGTGCCTCTCCATGTCTGCAGCAGGTGGGTTTGCTCTGATCAAGTGTTTCCAGTTAAAACACTCCTCTCACTCATGCCCCACAATGCTTCACATGGCAGAGGGTTTATCTCTTGGGAGCAGCAGCTGCATCTGTACAAGATTTACCTTATGCCTTTCCTCAGGCCAAAGGCAGATTTGGTCCCTGGCAGCAAGACTTTCAGGCCTGAAACAGGTCAGAAATGTTTGCTGCAGCAGATGTCACTGGACAGAGCTCTTTTGCATCACTCCTGTTCCAAAACCGTCTCTTTTCCTCAGTCAGAAGCCAGTGCCCAGCCTCAGGCAGTGCTGCTCCAGCACCATCCCTCTGCCTCCCCCTGATGAAGTTTTCTCCATCAAAATGGGCCTCCTGTGGGCAAGAGCACACCACCAGCAGCCCTTTCCCCTGTTCCTTGCCTGGGAGCTCATCCCAGCTGTGCAGAGGAGGGGCAAGACAGGAGGCACAAGCCCGTAACATGCCAGACAACAGCTCCACCTGGGAGGGATGAAGCCAGCTGGAGCCTGGCTCACCAGCTCGCTTTCCAGCAGGGCCAGCTCCACTAACTGTGAGTGTGAGGAATTTCTGGCACAAGAGTCAGTGTCAGAAGGGGTGGAGAGCCCCTATGCCTTGTACAGAAAGTATTTGTTCCAAAGCTTGGGTCAGAACACAGGGAGGCAGCACAGGGGCTGCAGGCACTGGCAGGGCATCGCCTGTGCAGTGACAAAAAGTGACACCAGCCCTGGGGCTGTCCTAACCCGGCTGGTCATAGCCAGGGAAATTCTCAAACAAAACACACAAATAAATCACTAGCTTTTACCATAAACAAAGTAGGTAAAGGGCACAAAGCTTAGCCCTATTTCATTCATATGTGACCACATGGGCTCCTGCTCAAGGCCAAGCCCAATGCTCCAGCTAGCTTGGTGTCCTGTCTCTGGCAACAGGCAACAGCAGATGCCCGGGGACAGGCAAAGCAGAGAGAAATCACACAGTGCTGCTGTTAGCTGGTCTGTTTAGTCCCTGCAGGAGAAAACTTTCTTCACCAGCAGCTGAATTTAAAAACAAGAAGCCAAAGCAACCCTTCTGTCCCATAAGGATGCTGCAGTGTGCTATAGTCTCCTGGTGAGAGATCAAGTATCAGGTCAGCCTTGCATTAGACACTACATACTCAGACAACACAAACTTGGCCCCTGACCCAAAACTATGCTCAGCTTTCAGCGTGCAGGCGGAAGGACCCAAAGTAGTTTTATTTGCCCCTTATGAGGGGTGGATCATTAGTCACACCTGGAATGAAAATAGGAGTGGTGATGGAAGGAGCTGGAGCTTGTATTACAGGGGGCCATTTTCTTGTCTGTTTTCTGCATTATTATGGTTTGGTCATTAATGTCTGCAGCAACCATCTTATAGGGGGTTGTTGTGCTCAGAGCTGTTACACCTCCCGCCATATTCAGGTGGTGACTTTCTCTGATGTCCCATTGCTGCCTGCTCTCTATATGTACACTGATGCTTTCATGCTTGCCTTGATCATGGCTGGCTGCTGTGGAGAGACAAACTCTGTGACCCCTAGTAATTTCTTATCTTTTTTAAATATTAAGCTCACACTTTCTGAAGTTACCTTTTTACTGTCTCTCTGAAGTCTTTCCTCAATTTATTTGGTGATGAGGATTTCAGGGAGTCTTCCTCCTCCTCTTTTTTTTTAAATAAAAATTAATATGCAGTTTACAAAAATAAGCTGCCATTCTGCTGTTCTTTTGACCAACTGCTTCCTTGGTGAGCATTTGGTTTGGGGCTTGTCTGATCATTGCTGTCTCTTCTGATGATTATCCCAGCTAAATCCCCTATCTTTTCATGCTGTACTGAAAAGAAACAGCTCTTTGCCCTTGCTTGGAAGAGAGATGCTGTACTGTAGGAGACTCGCACAAGACATTCAAGTCATGAGTGAAGTTCAGCATTATCACACCTTCTGACACCAGCCTGATGATGCTCTGTGCATCCCACAAGGACATAAACTCATGTTCTCAAGCCTACTATCATTCAAATATCTCAGTTGAGGCCTCAGCTAAAACGCACTAGAGACCCATGCGATTGTTTCCCATTGCTTGACTGTAGCCCTCTGCCACCATTTACCCTGTTTCTTTTGTGCTTTCCAAAATAACCCAGTCCTCCTGAGGAGCTGTAGCTTGCATTGCTTCCCCAGCTGCAACATGGTGGGGTGAGTTGCTGTCCATGCCTTCCTCTCCAGACAGAAAAGCAAGGTGCTAAAGCTGTCGCTTGTCTGCTTTGGAAGTTGTGCAGCTCATTGTAAAGCACAGTTGATGCACAGTGGGCCAGTGGGGTGGCAGCACTGGTTCTCTCAGGAGCAAAGTGCTGGGAGGTCACCACCCCACACCACAGCCACCAGCCTGTGCACCTGAGGAACCTTCCACTTACACAAGCTGCTCTGAAGCCCTCTCAGCAAGGGGACCGACTTGCAAAGGTGAGCCAGAGTTGGTGGCTGGGAGAGATTTTGGTGGCACTTCTAGAAATGCCTCTGCTCATGTTTTATCCTAGAAGCAACATAGGTGGAAAAAGGTAAGCTCCAAGGATGTGCTCTGCATCCTCATTTTCCTCCCACATCAATCTTCAGGCCAGGGGGGTATTCTGCAACCATCTTGTTGCCTGCTTCCTTCAAGAGCGGGGGCAGCCACCGAACACACACCAATGGAGCCTTTCCTTCGTCTCTCTAGGTTTCAGTTCAAAGAAAGAATTGAATCCGAAGCCGCTGGAGTCCATCTCGCAAGGGAATCCAAGTACGTACTTCAGAACTAATTTCATAATTAAGCAATACCATTTTATTAATTACATGTTGCTAGAAATATTAAACAGCAAAATGTTAGCTTTCAAGAAAGCCTAAGAAACTCGAGGAATGCATTTTTCCCTTGCAGAGGAATAGCGAGCACTCTCCACAACCCCTCTCATACATGTAATTGGTTTTTGCTTCTACAAGGAAGGAAATAACAGCCAAGATTTAGCTTACCTGGACAGGGAGAGAGTAGCTGCTCACCACTACCTCTTCCCAGGCAGTATCAGCTCCACGTTCCTGGGGCTCAGAGCTTCACTCAGGGACTCTGATGGTGGAGGACAGCAAACCAATCTGTTGTGGCCAGAGTTAGATGATCAAGCCCTGCTGACCAGAGCAGGCTCCTGTGGCTATGCTGAGTGCAGGCACCCTTCCCACAGCAGTGGGCGGGAGGGAAGGAAACCGCCCAAGAAAAGGACCCAGCATCTGCTGCAGCAAGGAGAGAGGGGATGCAGAGGGAGCGATGAAGATCACTCAGTCTAGGGACGGAGATGTAGGGTCCCCTGCTCTGAAAAGGAAATCTTCTACAGCCCTTTATAATTAAAAAGCAGATTTGCCCATTAACTCATCTTTAGAAGGGGCCCAGAGTAGAAGGAGAAAGAGAATACAAGCTGTGAGTGGAGAGATGGGGTCATCTGCCGCCTCCTCATGGGAAGGCGCCCTGGAAAGGGGGCTTCACCCTCCCTCCGGCGCCTGGGACCTCTCTTGCCCATCCTCCAGCAGCTGAATGCCATCTCTCGCAGAACCAGCATTTCAAGGACTCTACATTAACCACATATCTATATATTCCCAGGCACTCCTCCTAATACTCAAAAGTATTTTTTCCCCTATCAAAGATGTCAAATACACCTAAAAACACTACAGAAATAAAGGAAAGAAGAAGAAAAGGGGAAGAATCTGCCCTACAGACACAACTGCACAGCAGAAAAGCAGAGCTCGGTGTAGCAGAGATGAAGGCAAGCACAGCTGTGTTTCCAGCCGTGGAACCAAGATAAATCACACCAGAATCAAAACTCTCATCCCGCTGATACCTCTAGGACCATAAAAGCTATAATTCAGATCTTGTCTCCCTGCAAATCTGAAAGTGCTTGGCTCCCTACAGAGCACCTGCGCTCTTTCAGAGTCCCACTAATGTCGCAGCACCAAAATACTCCTGCTGTCTGAATCCTCCCCAGAAATTAAATCTGTATGTAAGCATATGTAAATATTTGCATGCCCAGACCCTGCTGGCTAACAAACTTCCCACTTTCCACATATAGACTGCATGTTGTAGCCTCCTTTGAAGGGCAGAAAATTCAGGAATATTTGGCCGTTAATTGAAGTATTATTTGTCATGTGTTCCCGGCCTTGCTTCACGATCTGCTGTGAACAAACCCAGTTCTCAGTCACGCTTCTATAATTCAGCGTTACTACAATTAGAAAAACAGACAGCCAGGGGCGAAAAAAATTGAAGGTAATGAGATGGGAGGCAGTTGCATAAGCCAGTAAGAACAATTGATGCTTTGTAGCCTTCAGGCTACCTAATGATTAAAACACACTATTGTGGACAGTCTGATTAGTAGGAGGCATCATCGGAGGGAAATCAAAAGATTGGGATGACCCAGACACCAGAGGGGGAAAATGTTAATTAGCGCTCTAGTTAAGCCAAATTTTGATCCCACTCCTAGTTAGAACCCAGCCAACGAATCTTTTACCACTAACTTGCAGAAATGTAAAAGCAGGCAGGCATTTTCAGAGGCACAAAGATGGGGTACATCTGTGTAATTAGAGGGAAGAGTTTATTTGGGTGCAGGCATAGCTCTTCTAGAATATTGCTTTCAGCCCAGAGAGGCAACACACAAGAGCACACTGCTGCTGCTGCACACATGGGTATAAGCCTACAGATACGTGAGAAAAGAGCCCCCACTCAGTCTGAACATAAGCAGCAAAATCACCATCCCCGATGTCTGCTCGATCCCAGAATGAAGCTGCAAATGATTCTCACTCAGCAGCACAGAGTTGCCAGGATTGCTGTCAGCAGCTCCTTGAAGAGGCCCCACGATGTCCTCCACCCCAAGGCACATCGCAGGTATCACACCTTTAGGGAACTGAGTGGGTTTTCTCTCCCTCCTGAGCAGTATTAACACAGTACGTAAAGAACTGTTCTGTTACATCTATTATACCAATCAAGCCCACAAAAGCATAATCAAGTAAATCCCTGTAGTTGTGCTCTGCAGGTGGCCAGACGGCAAAAGCCAAGGGTCACGTTTGGCTTTACAAGCTCTCAACACCTCCAGGCTGTAAAAGCGAGCCGAGCCCAAGTCACGGTTCTGAGGACACAGGACACAAGCCAGCTTGCTCCCGTGTGGCTGACCTCTCTGCCCTAGCCCCCAAACACAGTGCTCCCAGACTGATCCCTGGGGACAGCTTCTTGCCCTTTTGTCACCCAGCTGGGTTTGGATGTCATACGGGAGAAAACCATGCCAAAGACCATGTTTACCAATGAGCAGGACAGATTTGACCCCCCAGCTGTGTCTTGTTCTTGTCAGAGGATTTTTTGTAGAGTTTGTGTAGCAGGACAAGTCACTAGATGCAGCCTTTGCTCCTCACAAGAAGCACAGCTGTCAGAAAGGACTTAAAAATATTTTCTGTTGTTTGTGTGTCTCTCCTCAGATTGCAAGGTTGATTTGTCCTTCTTGATGGATGGGAGCTGGAGCATCGGTAAACGCCGCTTTCAGCTCCAGAAGCAGTTCCTCGGTAATGTGGCTCAAGCCCTTGGCATCGGCAGTGCTGGTCCCCTGATGGGCATCGTTCAGTACGGGTAAGAGCTTCTCGTACAGCTACTCCCATTGCCACAGTGCACAAGTGCACACGCTGGCAGCTGTAGCTCTGCAGGTGACGTGCTAAAGGCGTCTCTCCAGCTAGCACTCAGGAGCCTGGTAACACAGACGGGTCCCACAGCTTTTGTACTGTCGCACATGAAGTAAAAAAGTGACAGTTGCTCTCATTTCTTCTTTTAGCGATGACCATTCCACAGAATTTAACTTAAAAACTTATGCCAACTCCAAGGACCTAAGAAATGCCATAGAGAAAATCACGCAGAAAGGTGGACTTTCCAATGTTGGTAGGTGATGGGGTTGCTTTCACATCCTCAGTTCAGGGAAAGCTCCAGAGCCTGGGCTGTAGTGAGAGTACCCTGGGCTGTACTCACCAGGTACAGAGGCTGTGACTGAATGGTGCTCAGCACCAGGGCAGGGCTGACGAGGGGGTACTGCTCCCACCATGACCTGCCTGCATTGATCCAAGGCACTGAGAGTCCATCACAAGCGGACGGGATTTACCTTTCTCCTCCTGGGCATGTCCCACTGACACATCGGGGATCCTTGCTGACCCAGCTTGTCACCCCCAGACCCTCTGGGGCACAGGGAGGGGCCTGATGGGGTTCAGTGTGGGAGGGGTCCAGCAGCACTGGCACCACCAGCAGTGACCTCCCTCCTGCTCGCACAGCCACAGAAACTGCTTCCCCCAACTCTCGGCAGTGCTCCAACACTTGAATCAGCACTCTGCCTACCATTTTGTGAAATATTATCAGGTAGAGTGCTTCCAGACCCGCAGCTCATCCTCATCTCCTTTTTTATTCCAGGGAAGGCACTTTCATTTGTTAACAAAAACTTCTTTTTGGATGCTAACGGAAACCGAGGTGGAGCACCCAATGTGGTTGTAGTGATGGTGGATGGGTGGCCAACTGACCGAGTAGAGGAGGCATCCAGGCTGGCCAGAGAATCAGGGATCAACATTTTCTTTGTCACTATTGAAGCAGCTGCTGAAAGTGAGAAGCAGAACGTTATCGAACCAAACTTTGTGGACAAGGTACTTACTGGGCTCAGCTCTGGCCAGGAGCTTGGCTCTAACTACATTTTCCAAGCTGTTTCATTCAGGGCATTTTCCTTTCCTTACCACTTACAGTTATTTCTTGTCCTGCTTATACTATCTTGAGGTCTCCTGCATGAAGAGCCAGGCAGCAGTGCTGAAGTCAGAAAAAGGATGAAGTCAGTAAAGTTCTGGTTTGAGGTACATCATAGAGCAAACGGCTTTTTATTGACTAAACATTGGTACAAACCTGCAGTTGTGCCAAGATTAAATGTTTTCCAAATATACAGTAGCATAACAAAACATAATTGCAGCCTGAGCTTTGCACGAGCCTCCTGCTGTCCACCTCCCACCCAGCAAAGGCTGAGGCACCCTGTCAACCTAAAGTCAGTGTTGCATTTACAAACAGGTCCCATACATGCAAATACTGTGACACTCCCAACATAAGCATATCCCAGTTGTCAGCTATACTGGATAACTCATTTTGTTTCCGCTGTTGATCTGATGCAGATCATTTTTCTGTTATTTATTTCTACTGCTACGGGCTTCATGGCAACTCTTGAAAAAAAAGAGTAAATCCCTGCCATGTACAGCAAAACCAGAGAACGCAAACCTTGAAGGATTTGTATTTGGCACTAACAGTAGCCGCCTGCTCAACAGCGCTTCAGGGCAAGCTGGCACCCAGCTACAGCAGGAGGTATAGAACAAGTGCCAGACAAGGCTGGGCTCAGGAAGTAAGGTCGAGGTATCTGGTATTTCCAGAAAACAGATTTCTGTCTGAACCATGTCATTCTGCCATGCAATAATCTCTCATGAGTTTCAGAGCTGCTCCAGAGAGCTGCACTCCCTCTGGTCAGCGTTTATTTGGATTGTTGTCTCGTTTGCATCTAATGCTTTTAAAAGGGCAAAGCTACAGTGAGCCTCTGCAAACCTGCCCGGGACATGGCAGAAGTGGGAGTAGAATGGGCTCAGAATAGGAAGGTAAAGAGTGAATGGTGACTTAATACTGCATCATAACACCAAAATAACCATGAACAAGAGCAGGACAAGGTGAGGAGCCCAGGCTGATGGGAACTGTCACCCCCTTGAAGCTGTTAGGCTTTATGCAAGTCAAGACCAGGCACCAAGAAAACAGTGCCTTGGTCTTTTAAAACACACACACACACACACACACACTAAGTTGATATGTAAAGCTTGGCTTAACAAAATATTCTTAGAGACTTGAGGTATTAGTATTTAAAAGGCACTAAAGCCAAGGACAATTTGATCCAGCCTCTCCCAACTGCTTGCCCCACCATGCTTGACTTCTCTCACTCCCTCTTCTGTGTAACCTCTACTTCCTACACATTCTCATCTGACACCCAATAACCCTACAGAAGCCTCCCACAGCTCTACTCCCTACAAGTATTCACTTATAAAAATTAATGGGCTTTTTTTAACTATTTGGCAGACCCAGCACAACACGGAATCTTTACAAGCTTTTTGAATTTTCACCAAAATTGACTGGGGTTTTTTTCCTGCTTAGAAAGGCATGACCCAAGGATAAGCCAAATTCAGTCCCAGGTTTCAAGGTAGTAACGTTTGTCAGCAGGCAAAACTTTCCTTGTTGCCCTGAAGGATGAGAGATGAAGTTGCTGTGTGTGGCAAACACACGGGCTCTCATAATGCCCACTGGAGCCACACAAACAGCAGCTCTGTGATTTCAACATTTTTTTTGTGAACAATATAACTCATCTAAAAAGCTTGACAGGTGGCAAACTTGCTTATTACATTTCCTTCGCTACTGTAATATCAGCTCCATCCCACAGCTTTTTTAAAAAAAGGCAGGAAAAACTGCTTGTTACACAAGTATCTGTGATGTTACATTGATATCATTTCCCAGGGAAGCAGATGGTGACTGGAGGAGAGGCCACTTCAGACTCCAGCACTGCTCTTTCCAGAAGCCTATATTTACAATTTAGCTACATACCCCAGTTTAAACGGGTGGACTGAATTTCCATTTCATTCATCCTTGTGTTGCTTTGCAGGCAGTATGCAGGACAAACGGCTTCTATTCCATCAATGTACCGAGCTGGTTCAGCCTACACAAGGTGGTCCAGCCCTTGGTGAAGCGGGTCTGCGACACCGATCAACTGGTTTGCAGCAAGACGTGCCTCAATTCAGCTGACATTGGGTTTGTAATCGATGGCTCCAGCAGTGTCGGCACCAGCAACTTCCGCACAGTCCTCCAGTTTGTAGCCAACATCAGCAAGGAGTTTGAGATTTCAGACACCGACACCCGCATTGGAGCTGTTCAGTACACCTATGAGCAAAGGCTCGAGTTCAACTTTGACAAGTACAGCACGAAGCAGGACGTGCTGAGTGCTATTAAAAGGATCAGTTACTGGAGCGGTGGGACCAGCACGGGAGCAGCCATCAGCTACGCCTCAGAGCAGCTGTTCAGCAAATCCAAACCCAACAAAAGAAAGATCATGATTCTCATTACAGATGGCAGGTCTTACGATGATGTTAGAGTGCCAGCCATGGCAGCTCACCAAAATGGTAAGCTCTTCTATCCCTACCTGCTCTCTCTACATGCCTCAGCATTTATCCAGGCCAGAGAAATGCACTTTGCTATGATTTGAAGACACTGGATGAAACTCTATGAAGGAAGTGTAAGCACCTCATCCTGGGCTCTCATTGAGCAAGACCAGGATCTGTTTAATATCTGAATGAGGAAATATTTTTTAAAGGTTTTTTTTTTTTTTAAATCACATAAATCCAGCAAAATGCAGCCATGTCTGGGAGATCTCAGGGGATTTCTACTGTCTTAACACATGAAGCCTCCTTCGGCTTTCCAGTCAGGACAGTCATACATCTTCCAACACAATTGTAAAACATTTGAATTGTAACAAGAACCTGTTGGTCGGGAGCCTGTTGTTCAGACCAGAGCAGAAGCTTTACTATTGTTTAAACCTTTTTTCTGTTGGCAAAAGGTACTTCCAAAGCACAAACTAGACCTTTCCTCCAATTTGAAAGTATCATTTTTGTACAGATAGAGCACACTGCAATTCACTGCCCACATTTTTGTGGCCTGGCAACTACGTTTGCAGTATTGGCCTTAAATCAGATTTAATGCAATGATAACTTCTATGCTCATTCTAAACTTTGGGTTTCTTTCCAGGTGTTATAGCTTACTCCATTGGAGTTGCTTGGGCAGCCCAAGATGAACTGGAAGCCATCGCAACAGACCCCGATAAGGAACATTCCTTCTTCGTGGATGAATTTGACCACCTCTACCGCTTTGTTAATCAGCTCATCCAAAACATTTGCACAGAATTTAATTCCCAGCCACGGAACTGATGGACTCGAGCAAGGCAGGACCCTCGGGCACCATGCTGAAGGCACACCAAGTACATCAAGAGTAATGTCAGTCCTCAGTTCAAGAAATACTGGAGGTGTTTTTCTCTGGCACTTTCCAGTCAGCAAGGTTGATTGCAGCTCTGTCGCTATGCATGATAACGCTCTGTGTAGACTGTTGATTTTTTTTTTTTTTCTTCCTTGCAGGCTTCAGAAACTCTGATTTGGATGGATAGAGAAACAGGCAGTAAACACAGAGAAAATAACTGCAGCTCTCTGAAAAGCTGCTTTCAGTAGAGAGCTCCAGCTTGTCTGATTCCCACCTTTGGGCAAACATAAGCTCCTTAAAATGTATCCCATTCTTCCTGAAGTGGACAGGTCCCTTCAGGGAGAAGCCACGATGCTCAGCTGCTGTGGCAGCAGAAGCACCTCTATGTGGCACTGGCACTGCCCAAGAGACGACACCCAGGTCAGGGCTGAAATAGCAGACACTTTTTTTTTTTTTTTTTTTTTTTTTTGGTGGGTGAGGGGGGGTGGGGGCAGGGGAAACGACACAAGCAATAATTCAAATTTGGGTACCTTCCTAAAAGCAGGCACTCTATACAGCTGTCTTACCAGCAAGTTAAACTTCAGCTAGTGCAAATTCAAGCACTGAGATTTATCCAAACCCAAAGGCTGGAAAGCAAGCAAGAGGAAAGAGTCAAGCTCTGGGACCCTACAACCTTTTGACAACCCCAGTAATGTCCCAAATCCACAAAGCAGCCAACACATAGGAACTGAAATCTAGTCTCCTACAGCACTGCAGTAATATTTTATTTTGAGAAGTATCTTGTCCCTTTAACTCTCTTGCTCCACTCTTGTGCAGCTCAAGACCTGCAGGACTGCAAGAGAGCTGCCAGAACAGACTCTTCAAGAAAAATCGTGGGTTTAAGTTGCTCGGACTCAGAGAAGCATGTGAGACCCACCACTCTATCGTTAAACCACAGTTTAGAACAGCTTACAGCAGTCTCTAGTGAGAGGAGAGCTATTCAAGGGCCACTAACAGGATTTAAGAGGGAATTACCTCAAGTTCTCTATTATACACTGAGAAAAGCAGCATTTTGGGCATTTACAGACACCCTCTCCTAAATTTGGGACAGTTGTTTCTTTAGTGAAGAATGAGCCATATCACTAATCAGTGGGGGAGAAGTGACACATTAGGAGGACCAAAAGAATTGCATTTTTATTAGGAAGCAGTTGGTTATGTTTTCACCCAGTATAATTTAAGAAAACATGTTCATTAAACAAAGTCATCAAAGGAAAGGCATGGAGTTTCAGAGCCAATAAAAACGTGTGTGTTCATGCACTTTACATCAATCAAAGCCACACCACATCAGGCTTTTGGAACTAACTGGAAATAGGAAGAAATTAAAACTCAATTTTCACATCTTACTTGCAAACCAGGTTTTTAATAGCTTTTATGGTTTTAACAGTCATGACCCAGGATGTTTATTATTCACAAAAATGTTAATTGAAGTAAATTGCCATAAGGGAGACTCCTTTCTGTCAATAAAAGTAGCATAATTTTTAAAATCGTTACGTTTGGAAATATGACTGAAGTAGCTCAAAAATTACCAATTAAGTAAGTCTAATGCGAACTAATGAGAGATCTGCATGATCTCTCTGGTGTGGTAATATAAACCAGGCTTGGGTCCTTCGATAGGTTATCAAAACCAATTCTGGATGAAGCAGCAGTTTTACACAGGGAAGGTTCAGATCTTCCTCTTAGAAGGAACATTCAGTTCCAGCTCTGCCTGAACATCATCAATACAACAACATACTACCCAGACAGAAGATGCAGGGCACTGCCTGCTTCCAAAAAAAGCAAAACAAAGACAAAATATATTTGTTTACAGACTTTTTAACACTAATTTGTGCTGCTGCACTTCCACAGAAATAGCCTCTTGACTTGAAAAAAGTAAACATTTAGGATAGAGATTTTGGCAGAAGCAGAGCAACCCCTGATAACCCCCTGTCTTCTGATCCACTACCCATCTCCTCCCTCACTACCATCCTGCTGAAAGCATATTTCTCTGTCAACAAGTGACATTACATGGGTGGACAAAACTCAAATGCATAAACTGAATTTACTGGGGACTTCAGACACCAGATTTAGTGTCTGAAAACCTGTTTGCTTGGGGTTTAATTTGGGGCTAGCTGAAAAAAAAGTCTTAACTTTTAGCTACTCTACTGTGGTTTAATTTTTAACGCAACAGCTTACCAACACATAGTGCTTTCTTAACTGGCTATACTCTTCCAGCATGGAAGACTGATACTCTGCAGACCCCCTAGTGTTTCGCCGAGACACTGAGAAAAACAGTTAGTGCTACATGTGTTCTTCAAGATATGCATTTTGATTTCTTCTGAAAGAACTTCAAGCAATGACAGTGAGCTTTCAAATGCTCTTTCACAGGGAAGTTGCAGAGCTATCTTCTGTGTCAAAGGCACTTCAGGGTTTGCTGTTTGTTTAAATGTTTTATCTTAAGTTTACAGAACAAGTATGGCATTTGGTTGTCAACTTGTGTTTTTATTAACTTCTCGGGATGACCTTGAAATTGTTGGATTTCAAAGTGTGAAAATGGTTTAATGTCTAATCTGATTCTCATCTAAACATAGATGTCCTATTCATAAACACTGTAAATTTGAGTGTAAACCTCGAAATTTGTAAGAATACACCCTTGGATTAACAAAAGCAAGCCAAGTGGATCAGCACAGAACACACTCCACTTCACCTTTACCTTTCATAGCAATCAAAATACCTGCCATCTACTAAAGTCTCTAAATACTGTTTTATTAAAAAACAAGGTAACTTACTTATAAATCTTCATAAATGTTTGAGGGGGTATATTTGTTTGAAGAAAGCAGCAGAATTCCTTCTGTAACATATACAAGCTATTTTGAGCTTATCAGTATGAGCTACTGTACTTTTTGCAATAAAATTTTCCCAAAGGCATGCAAAGTACATGTTGTCTCATATGTGGTTAAAAAAATAAACACTAAATATGGTCCAAGTTTCTGAAACACAGCTGAGGTTCCTATTTGCATATGGAAGACCTAGTAAGGTTGGTAAAGCCCCAGGTGTTTCAATGTCATCCTTTTACATGCTCAGCTGAAAAAAAGCCTAAGAGTGAGCTAGCAGAGGAAGGACCACCAAATTACCTGTCAGAGGAATCAGTCACTGAAGCAGGGCCTAGTGGCCGAAAGGCATCAAAATCACATTTACTTTCCCAAGTCTGCAAGATCATGTCTTACTTGGAACCAGACTTCTTTCGGAAGCTGAAAAAAATTAACACTGTACGCACTTTCTACTTGATGCAGGGCTGAATCAAAGAAGAATCTAGATATCCGAATGCCTGATGCTGGTCTACTTCATTTCAGATGTCTGACCAGTATGGTAGAACCTGTTGTCTGGCTGAGGCATCCAAAAGAGAAGGGCACCAAAGGGTTGGGCTTGGAGGCAGGCAGTCAGCTAGGCCTGGGAGCTATCTGAACTAGTCACTGGATACATAGCCAGAAGGGGGGTGTCTGATCACCCTCTTCCTAGGAAATAAGCACCTTTGCACTCAGGAGTTGGGCTGGTGGCTTATCACTGCTCAGCAATCACAGTGCAGAACACCCACCTGGAAATAATACAGACATCCGTGCTCTGGAAGCCTTAGGGGAGCTCAGTGACAGCACCTCTTGAACTCCAGCATTAGCTACTCACACTCTGGGTGAATAACCAAATTCAATTCAAAGCTCAAGCATCTCTTCAGAGAGACATAAAAGTCCTGTTTCCCAGCGGTATCTTACCTTGCTGGTCCAGATGTGGGACACCCTGCACCTCTGCTGTCCCTGTGCCACCCTGCTCAGAAGGCGCTGGCTGCTGCGTGCGCCCTCTTGCTCCTCAGCTGCCGTTGCTTTGCTGGTTCAGCAAGAGGAGGGTTTCCCAGTGGCAGCTCCTGAATTGTGCTTTTCTGGCAAGCAGGCAGACAAAATTCCCCTTCCTCTCCTCACATTCCTCCCCTCACAGCTCTCCAGCACACGAGGGGAACTGTTCCAGTAACCAAGAAAAGCTCTGGGCTTAAGCATCCAGACAGGACCAAACCAATCTGAACATCCTTAGTGGATTTAACAACCTACCTGTAAACTCCACAGAAAATTATCCACGTTGTCTACTTGACACGTCAAAGCAAGCGGTAAGTATCAGAAATATTACCGAGACACCACAACCTTCTGTGGTATACATACCTTAAGTTATTTCATGGATGAACAAAGTCACTCTCTCGCCATCATTCTTCTAGTCATTTTTCTTCTCCCATCAGCAACATTATGGAAACAGCTTGATCCCTTTTCTCTTCCATTCCCATCTCAGTTTGAGAAGTCTTAGCACCAGGCCATCAACATTTGCTAAATCAACTACATACTGAAAACACTGCAAGTGTACACTTGTACAGCTGAGTGCCTCAAATTCCACAGTGGCTTTTTTCCTTGTTAAAAACTTTAACTGGGGGGGTATCACAGGTTTTAGCACTGTATCGGCTACATCACTCACAATCAGCTGTCAGTCATACTGAATGGTAAGAGACACGTTATTTTTCTTAACACTAGACTAACCCCTTATTTCTAATAAAAACTCGATGCAGTTTAAGAACTCCAATACTCACTCCTAGAAATTACTTCTTTTTAAGAGAAATAGTAGTTAAAAGTTGCACCATATTGCTGAAGAGAACATGGTCACTTTTCTCACACCCAAATCATTATGGGGACATGTCTCGTTCATAGTCAAACCCCTAATGATGTTAGGAAGGCCTCCCACTCCTACATGGTTCATGAAATCTTTCTTCCTACTTCAGGAATCTTCTACTGACCCCCTTCTCTGGAAGTGGAACACTGGGGTGAATGCAGTTGTATTGCCATTTCATAAAGCAATTACTCCTTTCCTGTAAGGAGGGAAGATGAGTAGGGCTAAATCAGAAGGGTTATTTTACCTACCATGGAGAGGAAATGAGAAATTCACTTATCCCACCTACAAGCTTAGAAGAAACAGGATGGACCAGCTAACAAGTTGTTCTGCTCAGTTCTGTGTAGGTTCTCATACCACCCCCTCAACAGTGCCGTTCGGATCATCTTCCCGTAGCAACGCGACTACCATATGTGATGTGTGGTGTGCTCTCCCTCATCCTCTCCCCAAGGGCAGAACTACAGGCTTATTTCTATGTTAAATGAATGTTCTCCCCAGGAAGTGCACCGCTGACACACCAGCTCCTGCACAACAGCACTGTACCCACTCTGCATGTCTGTTCACACTGTGAAGATACTGGGGACCGTATGCCTAAGTGCACAGAAAGATGTAGGGCGCCAACAGTGCCCAGATGGCAGAGCAGTACAAAACCTAGACATACGGAGAACAGAAAAACTAAGACACTACTGAGAGTGGTAACACGCTGAACAGTTCAAAAGGAAGTTCACCAGAAGTTAGCTCATGCCCCTCCAAA